AGCAACAGCTGTACAAATTTTTTTATTTTTTTATCTTCTCTTCGATTTTATATTAGAAATCCTAATGATTACTTTATAGGAGATACAGCCAGTAATGAGTCAGACACTAGTTCTTTTTATTTTGCATTAGTTCTTGAGAATTTTTTTTTTAGTTTGTTAATGAATTTATATTTGTAATAATTAACCTTCATGAGTTGTTTATATTACTTTAGTATTTTAGCAAAAATTTATACTGTCATAAAGGCGAAGGAAACGTTAAATTTAGGAGTATTAAAAAAAAAAATTGGGATAAATGTTTAAAAAATCATTTCTGAAGGTTGAAACTCTTGTATATTTTTATTATACATCACTCGCTTTTTTTCGCGTACTTTATGTGCGAAAAAAGATTTATTAGTGGATATTTTGAATTATATGTATTGATATTATGTTTTTGGATTAGTCGATAATTTGCTTTCTCAAGGTAAAGGTTTCCTTTTATTTTATCTTCTTTATATATTTTTGCACTTTATTTCATTTTTGAATTATTCACGAGTGTTGTAAATTTTTATTATTTGCAAAATCGTGACTAGAGTATTTTTGGTTCATAAAACTTGCATCAAAGTCGTAAGGTAATTATTCAGTATCAAGAAAAAAATATTTATTACTTTTATTAAGTTTTCTTTGAGCATTATCATCAGAAATATTTACTTTAAAATGATATTGAACTCATGCAATGTTATGTTGTCCAAGTATTATTGTTTTATTTGAGAGTATTATGATCAAGAATGAAATCACTCTTGATCATTTGTTCAGTGTAAATAATCTACAACATCTTGCTTGTTTTTGATAATACCACTAATTAAGACATTATCTTATTATGATGATGAAATATGATTGGATCAATACAAGAAGCTTTCATGTCTCGAAATGTGCTGTTAAAATATTAATTTATTCAATCTTTGACATCGTAAAAATTAGTCAGATTTATTTTTTCATTGAGGATATATAATAAAATGAAAAAATATATAAGAAAGTGTTTCTTGATTTTTATATTGATTCTTCTGACCTAACTTTTCAATGAACATCAGCAATACACCAATACAATAAATAAAAAAAATGACAACTGACCAGATGTTGGCGCCTAGAAGGCTCGTCTTGTCGTCGCCTTACAGGTGTGCTGTTGATGAAAGTCTCACACATCAGCACGCAGATTAGAATTATAAAGAAAATGTTGTAATCCTCTAGAGGCAGAGTTGAAGTAATATAAATAACGTAATGCCCGTCAGAATAAATAATCAGTCGATGAATGACGAGATTATAACTTTTCTCTCTTTCTAACTCCATTCCCCAGTACTCGATGACTGTATTTTTCAATTCATACTCCAAGATGCCTATCATATACTCGTACTATATATCAGTTGAGTATTTATATATTTTAAACAAGTCGTTTTGCTTTTATTCCAACCCTTTACTCTCAAAGCTAGGACAGTTTCCGAGGTGGAAGACCTCGCACCTCAATGTATCGTTTCGTAATTCTCATCTTCATGTCTTCTTGCCTAAGGTAGTGTACACATTGGAATGCAGGATGCAAAGTATTGGAATGCAATAAGACTGCAAAAGCCAGAAAAGACTGTAGAGAATGTTGAATCGTATCAAAGTTACCCCTTCATGTCAAGGAGTATCAGAGGATCTACCTTAGAATCTTATTTAACATAAATAAGACTGCTTTGGTCTCGGAGCTGTTGACACTAATGAACTTGGTACATCCTGACTTCTTGAATACACCAGATTCAATTTAACTTCACTTCAAGTCTTGATCGATTCCCATTATTCCTCCAGTTTATGTCTTGAGTTCAACAGATTATTCAAGAATTTGTGCTAATGAACCATAACTAATTCCTTGACAACAAATGGAAATTATATTTTTAACCTGAACTACAACTTGTTACATGTTGCTGTCATGCTTGAAAGAGTAAACTAAAATATCAGCAAGAAATTAACTCAAGTCGTCACTCCACCAATCTCTAGTCTAGATCAGTCTTTTTCTAACTCCTAATGCAGTTTGTACTCTCCTCACGCGTGATACAACAAATCGAGGTGTTTCGATCCTACCAAGATAAGTATATGTCTTGAAAACGTTTCTCGACTGAAGCTTGCTGTTAACCAACCACGGTAATACGCTTAACGAACCGCATCATTGAGCAACCAGACGCTTCAGAGTATATCACAACTTGGATTTCTGTCATTAACAAGACGAGGGAAATTGACTGAGACGAATACTTAGATATTTTTACTTCACTATGAATAGGAAATATGATAGAATTTTTAACTTGTTATAGGGAAAGGTAAATGGACCCTTTTATAAGCTAGGTAACTCTGATAATTGACATCATATTGAACCATTTATGCTTCACTTTAACATTCTAATCTACCATGAATAATTACTTTGATGATAAAATCAGACTCTGGTATAGTGGTCTCCAAAAGCTAGTTACAGACATGCTAAACTTTATCTAATTTTAACATGGAGATAATTTATAGGAGAATGGTTCTTTTTTTGTCATTGATACTAGAAAAAATTCAATAATTTTGAATTAATGGTTATTGGCAATGCTATAAAAATGATATATCTTGGCTATCTATTCATATGAATACTGATATTCGCTTCCTACATTTAACTAGCACTGGTAAAATAGCTAACAATCAACATTAATTATTGATATATCTTATTGTTATTGCGTTTTAATGTAGCAATAATTGACATACAATTGATCTGCATCTGTTATTGAGCAATATGTCGAATTTCACAGTGAATTAATTTATTATCATCAGGCTATACTTGATAACTTGTTTGAAAACTGCTAATTGACAGCTATCACTGCAAGCCGATTATAAGAAATTAATAACAGTTTTACTTTAATAATTATTGATGAATAAAAATAACTTTAATCGTAATTACATTTTTTAATAATCACTTTCACAAAAATAAAAAAGATTGGTGTAGTTGTTTAATGGATTTAGAAAGTATCAAAATAAAACAGTGAGGAAAAAAGGTGTTTTATGATGATTATTAAATAGAATGAAAATTTATTTCTTATAAATAATAATAACTTTATCAATGTTTATGTTCTTACTTAATCATTGAGAATGTTAACTATAAAATCAGATCATTTCACTCTTAAATTTGTTGCATAAATATTATGACTGATCACAACAGTCCATCTAACTAATTTAATCAGTAATATATATTTACTACTTAGATCAATTTTCTTTTACATCAACATTTTTATGTAATAAATTACCTTCAACAAAAATCTTGAACTCAGTCCAAGAACAAGATCATAAAATCCACTTTTTTCACAAATTTAATTTTAATATTTTTTGGATCCAACAATACTTCTATTTAAAAATCTAACCCAATTCCATGTTCAATAAATCACTGTTTAGAAAGGCAATGTTGTTGATAAATAAATTATTATGTAAAATAATAATTGGAAAAAAATGTATCTGACATTAGAGGAACTCAATTGATTGTTCGGATGCCTCTGGCTCTAAGCCTAGGATTGGAGTAATGTTGGTAGTTGGTGGGAAGGGGCAAAGAACACGAGCAAGTTCAAGTTCAATGCTTCTCTCGAATGATTCTTCCACCTCATTCTCGTTCCATTCTTTTTCTCAATCTGAGCTCGCGATCGCGACGGAATGCACGTAGGCGGTATATATTTAGCGGGGGCGTCTCGTCCACCTTGTGCGTGTGCCCCTCTCTCACCCTCTAAGTCCTGATACAGCTGGAGGAGAAGCGAGGAAGCTTGCTGCAGGGCAATCCCCAGCGATACTATTATAAATAGGCCTTTGAACGCTAATCGTTCGTTCAGCTTTCTCGTTTAACATCACCGGTGAAGGCTGAATTTGTTATACCACCTCTGATACCTACTCCAGGATATATGCATACATATATAATAGTTATATCACTGTATTTACATTTATTTCAACTTTTTATGATTAATTAAACACTTTTATTACTAAAATTGTATTTTTTCCTGCAACCTTGGGAGTTAATAAATCTTAAATTAATGGTCTTTGGAATTGAAAGAGAAAAAAAATATGCGAGAGTCGGTCTAATAATTTATATGAGCCACATAAAATAGAGAAAGACATTTAAAACTACGAGAATTTATTTTTACTTCTATTAGCTACACTTGTAAATTTTTTTCATGGTGCTTTGGGTCTGGAAATTATACAGAAAAAAAAAATCATCTCTTGAATCTATTTGTCTTTACTTCTTCTAAACATCCCACCGGTTCTCTCTCTCTCCATCGAACATTAACAAGTCATCGATCTCATGTAGGAAAATTTTAAATAAAAATCAGAAATAAAGTTGATAGAAGCTGTTGGGAATTCTCAAGTCGAATGAGGGCTCGTTTATCATTTCTGATAGGCATAAGGTGTGAAAAATATTTCCCAGTTTCCTCGTGTCCCGTTCAATCCACGTGGCTGCTGATTAGTTCAAGTATCAGATAATTTATTTCATCAGCAGATTTTACAACCAAACAGTAGTCCAATACTCTGTTACTTGTCTAGCAAGAATACTACGAATAAGATGCATTAGATGACCATGATCACATCTGTAGGAGCTCGGGTTTCAAAAGCTTCTCACCCTTTTTCTCCTAAACCGGACTACTTGAGACTTAAAAGCATCTGACGTCATGCTGCTATGATTCACACGGTCAAACCACGACCTTTGTAGTTGTCTAAAAAGTAGCATAAAAGAAGAAGCTGACTGAGAAATGTTTAAAATTAGCAAAGAAAAATAGCTTACTATTAGAGTTACACGTGAATACATTTTAATGTTGATAAAGATTGAGAGATCATCTATTTAAAAAACGTGTGGTAAAGATGTTTTTATGATTAGACACATAAGTCGTTAATCAACTTGTTACTGTCATCTACCTATTGGTCAATTTATCCTCACAAAAAATATATTGTAATTGATTAAATAATAATAAATTTAAATGTCTTTGCAGACTGGTCACATGAAGACGTCGACAGGGACTTACATTATTAAACCAACAGCTAATTGGTCAGGTGACGAAGACACTTCTGCCACAGTATCTTCTCTGCAGCACGCAATCTATCGTGTCTCAGCAACACGTACCAACACCAATGATGTTGACCTTCCTGACAACGTGGGTCATAACTGTGGTGTTATAGGTGTGTATAATTTTTCTTAAACACTAGATTACATGGAGATGGTTTATTTTAATCATAAACTTGTGCAATTGCTACTCAAACCACAAAAAATCATTGAACTCTGATGTAGAAAAGTTGTAAAAGAAACAATATTGAGGTCATATCTGAGTAAAAGGTAATACATTTAGTTGAATATTTTTATTGGTACACTAGTGTGAATCATAAAATATTTTATTTTTAGTAACAAATCATGGAAAAAAGATTTCATTATAATAAAATGTCTTCCTCATCGTATAATTTACGTTATGACTTTATTTTATGTATTTTAGAACACGAGAAAATGTGTCTTTATTGCTAATTTATTGCGAAGACATTTCTCGAATTAAGGCGATATTTCATCAGAAATATTTGACGAAATAATTTCTGTTGGAGATTTTATTCGACTAAAATAACTCCTTCATCTACAGTTGAATGATTCTATCAAAATAATTAAAGAATCATTAACCCACAAGTAAGATCTACGAAGGACTTATGAATGAGTTAACGACATTGCAATAATCCTACGCTCGTTATCGTCAATTGGTCATCATTCTTTATACCTGTTCATGGAAGTAATTGATTCTGTGGTGAGTCTTAACGCCTGTGAGAAGATTTGGAGTCAGACGGAGGTCGAGAGAGGTAAAGAAACGTCTTGACCACCGCGATTGGACAAGCACCGTTGTGGCACGAGAGATCGTAAGCCACCTGTATCCAACCACAAGGGAAAGAGATAGAAAGTGTAAAGGACCGGGTATTCAAAGCCTGAGGCGTCACGACTGGTTGGGAGAGAGAACAGAGAGATGGAATGGAGAAACGTGTAGACTGCTTGGCGTCCGCGGCAGGTGGACCCACGAAATTCACGCTGACTCGAGGACAAATACCATCCACGTCATCTTGCCACACCACACTGATACCTTCTTCCCTCTTCCACTCATTTTTATGACATTATGTCACTGATTATATTTTTGGAAGCCGATCGATCGTCTACCGGTTTCCTAAAATTCCATGTTTATTTTTTCTGCTTATTAAAGAAGACTCTTAATAAATTGCGATGATAAATAATGTGATTTAAGACCATTGAGAATATTTGCTCATTTATTTTTCTTGTGTTTCAGATTTTTTTTCCCCTTTTGATAATGAGAAAGAAGTTTCTTATCTTCTGATGCAGACGAAAATGCGGGGCATCGTCCTCGTGGGCGTGTATCGTTCATACTAAGGGAGAGATGGTACACGATCGAAGTTGAATCGAGAGCGTGCGTTAATGGCCTCAAGCATCTGAGAGATGGGTTCGACACATTGCGGATATGTATACGCAGACTTGTTGAACCTGTTGAGACGATGAACCTGTGATCAGGAAAAAATTTCTCAGTAATCACAGGGCTATTTGACTTTTCGTCGATCATTGAGTATGCAAAAAATGCCAGAATGCTGGGCTGCGTGTTTACGCCTCGAGTTATCAAGACACCGAAAAATACTCTCATGACTCACTTGCAAAAAAAAAAAAAAAAATTACAAAATGCCGTAAAAATACCGTGAAAAAATTATCTGATAAATTTTCATGGTTTTATCCAAGTGAGAAATTCAAATTTCCTCGGTCTGTGACTCGAATTTACAATCAGCTTAAAAGTTATTTAACATTCTTCGGCATCACTGGATATATATATTCACCGTTATCGATTTTTCAAGCTCAATTACCCAAATAAAATTCGTTGAATAAATTAATTAAATAGAAGTTAACGCTATTGAATATTTACAAAAGTGCCGACGATTTAATTTTCGTGATAGAAGTATTAAGCAATAAAAAAGAAACATGACAAGATGACTGCATGGTTCGTAAAATTACCTGAGTTGGGAATACGATGAATAATATAGAGACCACAAGAAAGTAGTCGGTGGAATGTGTGAGTGTCCCACGCAGGAAGATTTAAATTGAGTTTTATTTTTATTTAACCGCAGTACGCGCACGCGGTCTTGAGAGCTCTCCTACCGATTTAATCTTCCTTGTAACCGCGAGTGCCTTGGTGGCTTCTCGGAGGTCGTTCGTTATAAATTACCCCGTCGCGCTGGGGCGAGAGAGCTGAGATCGAGTTCTCATAAAATCATAGGCGAAATAAGTGGTAGTTGATTAATTTTCATGTCTCGATGCTCTACCACTTATTTTATTTAAACTCTACAAAGTGCATCACCAATTGAATGAGAGAAAATTTAATTTGCACTTTTTTCCAATTATTTTTTATCTCCTTCATTTTTTTTTTTAATTAAATAATGAGTTTACCCTCGAGTGAAGGTAATTCTGTGTCCATGAAAAACGTACGATAGAAAGTTGGTGAGCATCTTGATGCCATATAATTTTGACCAAGCGAAAGTTCATTGCGTACATCACGATTTGCAATTTTTCGGAGGCGGAGTATCAGTAATAGATCTATCAAGAACTGCAAGAAGTCAATTATTGACAGTGTTCATTTAAATGTAATTTATATTTATTTTACAGAGACAATAATTTATGTCATTTAATATCTCTTCTCAATGACCAGGATACCATTTCTGATGCTAATAAAAATAAACAAGTATGCGAATTTCACGCGTCTTCTTATGAAGAAAGAGCTACGCCCATCTTGCCCTTTTCTCTGATGATACATGCGAAAATTCCTTTTGTAATTAACTCGAGAAAGCTTTCAACTCATCACCAACTGAGTATCTGCACATAAAAATTACAACTTATCACTTGGACAAGTAGAAAATTAAAACTATGAAGTAGTCTCTCAATTAATTGATTCTATTTCATTCTTATCGATCTTTTTCTTCTTCTTCTACCCTATTTGATTTATCATCAATCTGATCAATAACTTTTGTGAAGAAATGAATACAAAAAAGGGGAGATAACCCTTCGAAATGGTCCAAATGACCCTTAAAAGAAGAAACAAAAGTCGTTCCGATCTTTCAGGAGATTGTCTAAAACCCCCAGGGGGTCATACGCAGTCAAGTTATGTTTCTTTAAAACTTTTGATTTATCATCGAATTAAATCCAATCGCGATAAGCAACCGGGTCTTATCAATTTATATATAAATCGAAAATGTTCACAGCAATATTTTCGCATGTTTATTATTTCTGCACATCGTCAAGTTTAGAAATAAAAAAATAGAATTTCCCAAGTGTGTGTCAAGCAGTCCAATCCATCCGGACATGTAACGTGACGGCGTTATAAAGGTCGAGATTCTCGAAACCAGTTTCACGAGTCCTAAGTAGAAACCTGTCCGGTCGAGTGGAATTCGGAGTTTCCCTCAGATAGTGCCAGAAACTTAAAGATATATTAAATGCCTCTCATCATTCTAAAGACACTTATAATCAGTTGCAAATACTTCCAGGAATGAAATCAGTGGAACCTTAAAAGAGTATTCAGTATGATAAATGACCACGAAAAAGGTATTATCGGTTGCGCAATTTCTTCTTCAATTTAACACTCTGCATAATCCCTGGATTTTCACTGATCCTATTTGAGAACAAAAATAATATTTATATCAAGCCTTAAAAAAATGACCAATATTGTGAGTAGTTTTTTTTTAATTCATTAATTTGATTCATCGTTTCTGTTATATAAGAATTATTACGTACATTTCTTTTATTTTCAGTACAATCAAAACTCTTACTGATCCAAGATTGCAATGTTATATCTCCATCGTTTCTCTTATGACATTAATAAGTAGTTATAGAAAATATTTATATAATAAATCAATTGATTCAATCTATATATAAAGTTTTTGTAATACTTTTTAATCTTGCAATAATCAACTGCAATAGTAACATGAACAAAATCTCAACCAAGTTTACTCAATTTGTAATTAATTACTTACCCTTGAGCAAATGAAAGTGAATCTATTTGATATAAATGCATAATTCAAGTAATAACTTGTTTAATTTACCCCAAGTTATTTAATGCATTAGAAATAACCTGAGAATTAATTATCAAATGGGCTAATTCACAAGCATGAAGTCATAAAGTGATTGATAAAAAATGACATGTCAGAGATCTAGACGTTTAATCGTCAACTCCATGCTGTCTTAAGTGCTTTCGATTTATAAAACTCAACTGTTGGGTGGTTTCAATCTGGTAGAAAAGCACCTGCCTTATTAAGAGGACAACGCGATCACCGATCATGATCAGTCGATCGTAGCACCTATTTCTTATATGGTATCTATACACATAAATGCATACTATTACTGTGCATCAGTATCCGTACTTACTTGCCAACAACAAAGGATGTATCAGTGATGTTGTGGTAAGATACGAACAGGTCCCATTAAGCAGACAAAAGATGCCGGTCGTGAGTTTCTCCTTCATCTTTTTATTCTGCATTTCTCACTGAGTATAAATTATAAGACGTCAAATTATTTTTATAAATTTAATAGAAAGCAGAATATCAATGAATAATTTCATACATCTTTTGCAATCATAAAATTCTTTTTTTTTTCCTATACAATATTTTATTCATTCATGTTAATATAAATAAATTGTCATGTGGTTTTTCAGAAAATTTCATCAAATGTATTATCAACTTTGACTGATTACAAAAAAAATTACTCAAATCAGTAAACAGCAGATAAATGTTTCAAGAATCCATAGAGATGAAGGATAGTAAGAAAAAAGTTGATGAATATTTCAACATTTATTTATTTCTTAACAACAAAAAAAAATAGTCAATATTATTTTCAATATTTACATGAAAAAATTAGCTATTACTTCATACAAACAAACAGAGTTTCTCTCATCTGCATTGGAGATTCAGTTGTACGTAATAAATAGATGCTGAAAAGCACTTTAATCCTCATTCAGATGATAAACTGCTGATTGAATCTGAATATCAAATATCCGGCGCTCACAATCAGTTGTATACTTGACAATAATAATCTAGTAAATATGGTAACGATTCTATGATCCATTCTTACTTATACTGAACAAGAAGTTAAAATTGGTTATTGATCAATCACGACTTCATTCATTATTAAATCACATCATCAATCATATACTGGTTTAAATTGCAGTTATAAAAAATTATAGACAAATAGGAATATCAACAGCCGCTCCTACTTGTTCCTTTTCAACTCCCAAGAAATCCCACATTAGTTGCGTAGGTAGCAATGAAAAAGCCTTTTTTTCATTTATTTATTACAGTAATTATGTAGTTACGGTACTCATGCAGAAAAAAACTTATTATCGAAAAAAAAAAATTAATTAAGCTAAAATAACACATCACTAGGATACTATGTTGGCAATATTCGATAAAATATTCACATTATTTAATAGTGGTTTGAATAAATGAAGAATAAATTGTCTATAAAGTGAATTATCGATAATAAACTATCATGAAGTAAATGGGAATTTTTTCAATTTCAAGTGATAAAAAAGTAATCAGTTGAGAAAAAGTGTCATATAATTAAATTATTCAGTCCATCAGTGTAAATTATTTTCCCTTTCAACAGAGATATTTAAAGCAAATGAGGGAAGTGCGGGTGAAAGTGCACGTTTACTGAAACTGATGCAACTAGAGTGAGACCAGTGGGTAGATAAATATACTTACGAGAGTATTTATAGTGCAAATCGTGTCGCTGGTCATGTAGAGTCTCTCAAAGTGTGGGGTTCGCACGCAAGCTAACTCGTAACTACACCAGGAAATCATGTCTCCCATCCCAGATTTAATACCACCCACACTCAGTGCAAGTATCCACTAGATTCGCTGGATGTTATAAGCTCCTTACTGCTAATTTCATAGCAGCAAACCTACTGAGAATATTTAAGCGGATTTTACTAGACTTCCTGTAAGAATCTGTTATTTCAATAACTAGACCTGCAAAATCCTTTTAGAAGAAGGATAATGATTGAAATTAGAATGATAAAAGCCGCTCCTAAGGCGAGGTTCCCGCCCACGGCTCATTGAAATACCGGAGATCTCTCTCTTCCTCTTGAATTCAAGACTTATCGGAGCGTTGCAACAGCTTTTTTTATCATGGGACCAACCACCTGGCTAAGCGGATGTGCGAGTCTGAAAAACAAAAAAGATAAACAGTCTCTAGAGTCTTAGATGCTGCTTGAAGCTCTGAAGCCTATAAAACAATGCCGTCACAATCAGCACAAGCATAATTGTATCCATTACCTGGGATAATAAGCCAATCATTACGATTGCATCAGACTTGTTGTCTTCTTCATTCCTCGACCTACCACAGTACATTTTTTTACCCTTGTCTTTTAATCCTCCTTTCATAGCTTTTGTGAGATAGTCATTCGATTTAATTACCATCTTCATGAATGCCTTAGTATAAAAAAATTTTATCTTTTATTTGCTGTGAATTGCTATCTTCAGCGTTGGCGAATCAACTCAATTATCCCACTTTATGTAAGTTTATTTTAAGTGTCCCACTAAGTATTTTACATCTTAATCGTAAGATATTTACATGAACCTTTTACTTATTTCATCTACACCAAACGTGGTCAACTAAGTATGTTTCTAATAATTATTACAAGCGTAGGTTGACTTGGTAAGAGTTCAGAAGGACGACTGTCATATTATTTTGAGCTTATTTGAAGATAAAATCAACTAATTTATGATTTAATATCTTTATTTACCTTCTTGTTTATACACTACTTATCGGTTGGCAATAATATATATGATCAAACAAGGCAGATCATTGATCAGTTTGATTAATCCATTATCATTGAACCATAGAAAAAAAAATTCAACTATTGACCTGATAACTTAATGGCCTGATAACAAACTGACAATTGTGACATTGAAGTTACTTATTAATTTGTTCATAACTAATAATAATTATTATGAAATTAATGGTAATTTTTTATTACAGATTATGATACTGCTGATGATGTTCCGGCGCCTTTGAATGATGATTTGCCTGCAAAAGACTACATCGAAAACCACTTGCGAGAACGACGATCTTTGTCAGAAAAAATTTACATCGATCGTTCTATAGAAGATGAAGATGATTATGATGATGAAAATACTAGAGAATTTGGAGAATTTGTTAAGCATCATAAAGAATATTCTTATCAAGGTTCACCAAAAACTAGGTACTTTCTATTTTCATCAATATTTATCCCCATCATGTCAATTTATTTTCACATTAATTTCATCTCGGTTAATTTTACGACGCTTACACAACTTGTAGAATGCTCATAAAATTATAACTCGCTTTGATATTAGCGTAACAATGTTGTTCAAGCCTAGTCATAGACCTGGAGCAGGATGTATGAGTTTTTAATCCAAGTGATACCGATAATTCGCGGGTGGTCAGACAAAAAAATGTCATCAGTATGTCGATTTGATAGATCCAATGAAGCGTGCATTTCATATCAAAGCATAATTTATCAAAGAAACCACTCAGAACTGACTTGGTGAGCTAGATATTGGCGCCAATCATCAAGGGGGGTTGAAGCATTATTTTTCTACCACACCCATACTACGTTTATGCGAGCAGGTCGCGATGACAGCTTGCGATTATCCGTAGATTTTATTCGCCACAGGAGAATGGACTGGCCTTCATCATTTGTATTTGTATGTCAATCTTTATCACATACACTTGGACACATGATTTATCAAGTTGATTTGATATTCGTCTCTAATATAACGCCTTTATGAACATTTATCTATCATTATTGTTGGTACATTTATGTTGTATCCAGGTGTCTATTATTTCTCATAGCTTAAACATGATTTATTCTTGCATTGCTCTTAGTTAATTAAGAGCTAGTACTGATGGTCATCGTTGATTTCAGGTACAACGAGGTGAGAGAAAGGTACAAGGAAACCGAAGATTCCGGCAGTTCTGATGTATTTGCTAGCTGGAGACCTCGTCGAGCTCTTCCCCAAGAATACTTTATCGAGATTATGGTTGTTGCTGATGCTAAAATGATAGAATATCATGGCGATAACCTTGTGGCTTACGTCTTAATACTTATGAGCACGGTAAATTGATTGAAAAAAATTTATTTACTTTTATTTGTTCATTTTTATCTGTTTTCTTCCATGATACATTTTATCGGATTACTAAAATGATAATTACCAAGTAAAGTTTACGTTCAAGGCGTTGGTTGCTACATACGATACGCTCTGTCAGTTATGCACGTAGTGCATTTGCATGTTTTAGCGATTAGCAAATCGATATAAAATATTTGAAAAAAAGTCGACGATATTTCTTTGTTGTTTGTCTTTTGCGTCATCAACACTGCATTTAGAAATAAAATTTATCGCAGAACGTCTTCTTTCCGTTTCAATTATCAAGTAGACCTAAACAGAATGTCAACAGCAAGAAAGATACGTTGATTTAGACTCGAGTAAACAAAGGAAGTTAAGCTGACTGAGCTTGTACCTTGTAGTTTATCACTGATTTTTACTCTGCTTCCTATCCCACGCTCCTTTAGCACCTTTTTTAGTTGATTTTCCGTCTGACGCCTTTTCTAGCGATTATGTACCATTAACCTGCTTTCCCATAAATTAACACGAAGGTTTTATAATTTTTCCTTAAATTAATGACAAATCCATCACTTGTTTATCGTTAATGGTCATTTTTGTTATCCAATAAAGACACTTAAGGTTCTTCAGAAAATTAAAATTCATTTATCTTTATTGCTGGTTAATTTCTGATCATACAAACTTGTCTAATAATACTTTATTTATTCAGAAAAGTTGTGAAAATGTTTATTTTCAAGTCATAAATACTTTTTACAGTAATATACATGTTTTTCGTTATTCAACGTCAATGTTCTGTAAAAACATTTTACTTGGAGCAGGTGTTAATAAAACAAAATAAAAAATTTTTATTTTGCCAGTTATATAATCAAAATATTAACTCAAGTATCGAGGTCATTACCATCAGACCTACGCGGACGAGTTTAAGTCTCAAGTTTTCACAGTACCAGACATCCAGACGCTCACTTTCTTAGTACTTTAGATGCTGTTGGGAATGAATTTACACATCGTTGGTTCAATCAACTTCCATTTGAAGCATCTACACTCATGAGAGATACCTTATCTGACAGATTGCATTAAAAATCCTTTGATGTCCTTTCATTGTAAACCAATGACAGTATCCATTAAACATCATTTAATCGACAGGTGTGAGAAGGTGTCAAGAGAAACTGGATCGATCATCGTAAATCGATTACTTTTGTCGATAGAATTGGCAAGATGTTGAACACGTTCATGAAGAGTGAAAAAAGATATACATATCGTCACTTTGATCAATAAATATAGATTCATGTTGTCTTGATGATAACCCATTTGACCATAAGTGGATGTCACTCTGGGTTTGATCCAATTTCTTGGAGAAACTGTTTTTATTACGAGATTTTTAAGTTACTTCTTGATAATATCTTCTCCATCTCACTACTACAAATCAATATTTTTACAGACAACTTTCTAATTAGTGGAATTATAGTTTTAATTTAATTCTGTGTGTTAGATAAAAATCATTCATAGAAATCAATCAAAAAAAAATCCATATCATTAATCTCTGAGATTTGATTGGATGCCTTTTGATTTTTTACCCACACTGATCAATGATCATTGAAATGTGGAAATCCATTCCAGGTCGTGTATTATTCACGTTAAATATCGCGTGCGATAAAAAGAAGTGTCAGAACAGCAGGATTTATTACATAGATTTTATACCAACACACATGATGTTTTATGAAGCTTTAAATAACTTCTTAATTTTCTCTTGATTCTACTACACTCTGAAAAACTGCTATAAATTAATTTTAAAAATTTTCAAGAATGAATGTGCACATTATGTTTTGCTATATAATCATTATACTCAAGAATTTTTGTATCATAATTCTCAGAAAGTGATGTTGATAAATTAAAATTTTTTATTTTAAAAGCAGAACATCTATTAAAATGCTATCGTTTCATTATTGTAGTTCGATGTACATCGTATTATTTTCTATAATAACTCGACTTTATCTCTTGAACTTAACCTGAAAGGTGGTGGAATGTTATATTTTCAACGTGACAGTTAAAGAGAAATTTCAGTATTAACTTGACATTGAAAAAAAATGTTTACTACTGTCAATTGAAAAGAGAAAAATTTGTTAATTACCTGAATAATTTTATTTTGCTTAATAATATAATAACAAGTATTTAACTGTAATTAGTGATTTTTAAATGAACTTTCTAATTACTCATAATTGTTGCTATTTGCAATTTTATTATTGCGAAACTCATGATCTTCAATTCTATGAGCTCAATTATGTTGATACTGATCATGACATCTGATTCTATAATCTTAGAATCAAGATAGAAAATGAATGAGTAAGTTTCCTGATTGATATTCATCGTTTCTTCCTGTTGTGATTGCAAGATTCTTCCTCTTGGAGTATGTCAGAGACAAGTCGAACCGGTTCTGATGATAGATAATGACACCTATGTTAATTCTGACCGAATTATTTGATAATGAAAAGCGATACAAAAATTCGTTTAGCCTTTGGCGAGTTGTATATGATGTATATGTCACATTGGCTTCGCAACTTAACGCCCGATCTAACTGGATTATAATTGACCGATCCAACCGCGTTGCTTGGTTGCAACATAACCGGTGGTTAAAGTGGATTCATGATCGTCTGCACGTGCCTGAAAAGTCCAAGTGCGATCAGGAGACATGCTTCAGAGTACTTGAGGAAAATGAGAAAAAGTGAGATAGAGAATGCAAGGTTGATAAATTGGTAAGAGACCACGATTTACCTCAATCGATTCAGATGTTTGGAAGATTTCTTCGAAACTAAAAATTATCCGTAAACATGTAATACATGATGATGAAGCTTCGCTTCGAAAATATTTGATATGATACTACTTGAAAAATGACCATGAGAAAACATTAAATAATGATTAATAATAAATTTAATAAGACTACAAATTATGATGTTAAATATTTCGTGGACATTTTGGTACCATGTAGTATATTACATGCAATACTTGTAAATTTTCTGATGAAATCCACATAGGGAGGCCTGAAATAAGAGTCAGAAGACTCAGCAGGACATGCATAAACAATGTGCGGCACGATCTTAATTAGTTTCGTGTTTTGCGTGTCCTCTCATCGTGCCGCGAGAGTCTTGGAACGAATTTTCAACTCCGCCTTCTTCTGATTATGCTTTTACTGGTCACATTCTTTTTTCTGTATACTTTCTACATATAATCTTGGACATTAGTCTCGCATTTTAGCGAGACTACTCGTTTATTTGCATGGAAATTAGTTGTGATTTTTATCTTCTTCCAGGTATCGAGGATTTACAAAGATCCATCGATTGGTAATCCAATAAGTATTGCAGTAACCAAAGTTATACAGACTAATGAAGTATTTGGGACAAAACATGATGGAGTTGATGGAATAGCTGCAGCAGATATGTTGAAAAGATTTTGCTACTGGCAGAAACATAATAACCCGGACGAGCCGTCGCCAGAGCATCATGATGCGGCGCTCCTTTTAACGAGGTTAGTATAAAGAGTCATGATGAGAAAGAGAAAAATAATGAGAACGACAATTTCACTGAATGGGAAGCTAGTTATAATCACCAGCAGAATGTTTATATCCCTCGGGAAAACTTCCTCAATCTTATAGTCCACTCCCTATTCTTGATTGCTGATATTCAATAAATGTCAAATCATTATAGAGAAATTTATTATGCGCATGAATAATCAATTTTATTTCTTGTTCGATTCGACTTTATATTAAGGAATTTAATAATTCAAGTTTACAAATCATTTTTACGACTTTCTTTAAATTTTTTCTATAGGGAAAATCTTTGCCATAATCCAGGACAACGAAGATGTGACACTTTGGGTTTAGCTGAGTTAGGCAGGATGTGTTCACCAGGATCTTCATGTGCAATTGTCCAAGATAACGGTCTAGCTGCGGCCTTCACGATCGCCCACGAGCTTGGTCACGTGTAAGTACAAAATTGTGTAGTATCTCAGTTCAATAACAGTAGTAAAAATGGATTTCCTTCTCAGATTCAACATGCCACATGATGACGACTCTAAGTGTGCGAAATACCGCAATCGTTCTCGAGTTTATAAAGTCATGTCGCGGATGCTGGACGACAACACATTTCCTTGGGAATGGTCCAAGTGTTCTCGACACTACGTCACCGAGTTTCTAGAGTAAGTGGAGTTTCTATTTTCTTTTTATTACTACCTAAAGATAGAATGACTAGACAAAGCTTCCGGGTGAAATTGCGTCATGAAGAAATTTGTCAAGAAAGATAAAGGACAATAGTTATTCTCTTTTTATCATTTCCAGTAGCAAAACATTTTAATAGCTTGCCATGGAATTTTTTGCTATACTGGAAATGCAACTCTATCTAGTAATGAACAAAAATACTTGTATGTGAAGTTTTCAAAAATAAAATACAATCCAGTTGTAGAGGGAAAAAATGGTAAAAATTCAATAAATAGATAATTCAAATCAATTTAAAATACACAATATTATACCGGATACAGCTTCTTCTCATGGAGCCTTAGTTAAAGTCTAGAGTAAAAAGCCTCGGATTCGAGTTTTTCTGTATACATTCGAGTAAAGAGAGCTGAGAGAGCTCTTGTTGAGGAATCCGGTTCCACGAGTCAGGGAATAGAGGTCTGTCTGCGTCTCTCTATTCGGCAATGCCTTTTTCACGCAGTCGTATTTGTATTAGAAATTCGGCATTCCTATCTCGCGTGCCACACTATTGCCCTAGTGCCAAAAGACACTAAAAATGACAGGATACTGTTTAATTACAGAGCCGGCTACGCCAACTGTTTGCTAGATCAGCCAAGAGACATGATAAGATCTGATGCTGGACGGCTGCCTGGTGAAGATTACTCTGAAAATAAACAATGTGAGTTGGTGTTTGGTCCAAGATCTAAAATCTGTTCACGTATGGATAAGGATGGTAAGTCACGTTTATTTAATTTTGTTTATTATACGATTCAGACTGATTAATGAGCTACATCAAATATCACCCACTTAATCATAAATTGAAAATAGTCCGTGGGAGTAAACATGCATCGGGCATTAGTCGATAATTATTTAAGAATGATTCTATTTGGTGTAAATAATGTCACTGACATTGCGCCATAGTCCAAATATCGCGTAGGCTTAAGATGACAATGATAGATTAAGGAGCAAGGTAAACTTAGTCAATGGTTGGTTACCGGCCAGGCAGTGTGCAAGAGACTATGGTGCACCACACCATCCTGGAATAATCAGACCCAATGTCATACCCAACATATGCCTTGGGCTGATGGTACGCCTTGTTCTGCTGGCAAATGGTGTCAACGGGGTGAATGTGTATCCAGACGAAACCTGGCGCCAGTTGATGGACAGTGGGGCGAGTGGGGACGCTATGGTGAATGCTCTAGGACCTGCGGCGGCGGAGTCAAGAAGAAATACAGAGAGTGTAATAATCCACCACCGCAGAATGGTGGTAATTATTGCGTTGGAGAGCGAGTTAAATATCGTAGTTGTGGAACTAAAGAGTGTCCTCAGGGAACGCCAGATTTCCGGTGAGTTTAAAAGATAATAACTTATTATCAAGTATTTTATTCTCACAAAAAATACATTTTTTTTTTAAAACATGATATATTTATGGTAAAAAAGCTAATAAACATTAATTTCGTCAATCAATTTATAGTTACATCAATTTTAGATTATGTAACAGAATTACGTCTATATTATTGCAAACATAAATTAATGCTGTAGAAAACGATTAATAAATTATTGATTTTTTTCAGTGAGCAGCAATGTGCAATGTCCAATTATAATAATCACAACATTCAAAATTTACCAAGGAATGTAAAATGGCATGCGAAATATATCAAAGGTATGTGAAAAAGTTATTGATAATATAAATGAACATTTTCAAAGTCATTGTAATTTTATGTCTTCTCTTTTCTCAGTACCACCAGAAGATCGTTGTAAACTTTACTGCCAGGTAGAAAGCAATCAGTATTACATGTTACGAGACAAGGTGATCGATGGTACACCCTGCGGACTTGATACTTTTCACATATGCGTCAACGGTCGCTGCAGGCCCGCCGGTTGTGATCACGTCCTCAACTCAACCGCAGAGCTAGACGCTTGTGGTGTTTGCCGTGGTGACAATTCGACCTGTCAACGTATTACTGGAACCTTCAACTCTAGTGGAGTCGATGGCTATAGAAGAGTTACTAAAATTCCCGCAGGAAGTAGTTACATTGACATCAAACAATATGGCTGGGGAAGTTCTCACAATGACAGCAACTACCTGGGTAAATTGATTGACTTTTAAAACTTGATTGATTGTTCTTTCATTAAAACGATAAAAAAAATGTTTTTTCGATATTTTTTGTCTCAGCTTTACGGCTTGGAGAACGTGGAGAATATATTCTTAATGGAAACTACATGGTGATGCATCGAAAAGTCATCGTTCTTCCAGGAATAGCAATTGAATACAGTGGTCCAGGGTCTGTTGTTGAACGATTAAATAGCTCTCGACCCATAGGTGTAGATTTAATTTTAGAGGTGACTTATTTAAGAAAAAATTTTATAATTTATTGAGAACTTGTATACTTTATAATGACAATAATATTATTTATTAGCTTCTCTCTGTCGGAGGTGTTGTTCCACCTCAAATAACATATGAATATACGGTACCGAAGAAGATTCTTGGCAACTACACTTGGATTTTAAATGACTGGTCAAGCTGTAGTCACATGTGCCAAGGTAAAAAGCATCGACGAGCGGAATGCCAGAGTACAGAACATCAAGATGTTGTGTCAGACGATTATTGTAAACCTGAAGACAAACCCCGGGAAGAGAGTCAATCATGCAACACTCATTGCACACTACAGTAACTATGACACTTACTGTAATAACTTCTGAATTCTTAAGGAAAATATACAACTAAATATTATTTGTTATAGATGGCACATAACTTCGGTATCCGAATGTTCAAGTCATTGTGGTCCTGGTACAAGAATGTTGTCATTCCGCTGTGTACAAATATTAGCAAGTCCAAGTTCGCGTATTTATTCACTTCCGTCTCATGCTTGTGCTCATTTAGATCGTCCTAGCGAAAATGAAACTTGTATCGGACCATGTAAAGACGCTCACTGGGCATATACGGATTGGGGACCCTGCAGTGTATCATGTGGAGGCGGAATGCAAATGAGAACAGCAACTTGCATTGATTCGAAAGGTAGAATGGTCCCTGATAGCAAGTGTAATGCGGCAGAAAAAATATTAAAAAGATCCTGTGGACAAGAAACATGTCCACAATGGCATCTAGGAGAATGGTCGCCAGTGAGTCATAATTTTTTCATCATACAATCGTTTCTTCTTTTTACCTTTCTTATACGATGTAATTAATTCTCGATTTTTTACAGTGTTCGGTAAGCTGTGGAATAGGCACGCAAGTAAGGCCATACTGGTGTCAAGTAGAAAATCAAATAGTGAGTGAGAGCTCTTGCAATGGTCTTCCATCAGAACGAGAAAAAAAATGTAATGCAGGTCCCTGTCAGAATTGGTCTACTGGTGAATGGAGTCCTGTTAGTTTTTTTTTGTGAATCAGCTAGAATCTTTAACGCAATTCATGTGCAATCGATCGACCTGAATTAAACAACGATTAAATTTCTAGTGCTCGGTCACGTGCGGAGAAGGAACTCGTAGAAGAAAAGTCGTTTGCTTGAGAGCTGATGGATCTCCCGATGATGGTTGTGCTGCTTCAATGAAACCAGATAGCTTTGATACGTGTACTTTAGATCCTTGTCCTACTGTCGTAAGTCATAAAAAGCAAATTATCTAGAATATGAGGTAAATTTTTAAATAATATAAATATGTTTTTTATGCAGGCAAGTATCCCTCCAGTCATTTATTCCTCAGATCCGCCTCATGGTGAGTCTTCTGAGCAAGAGAATGAGATAGATAGCAATGGTATAATCTTTCATTCTGGCTATGCCTGGCGTACAGGAACTTTCGGAGAGGTAAATGCATGCATATCCTTTTGAATCTCATTACGAAAATTATTGCCTGATGGTTTTACTCAACTAACTCGTAAACTCTGTCTCTTGAATAATTAAATTCCTTGAGTACATTATCAAGCATGGATATAATTGGATTACTAGATCGAATAAATAAATTATCAACTTTATAACAATTTTTTAAAAAAATAAATTGTTTTAATTTTCTGTTGGTTTCAGTGTTCAAGACCTTGTGGTGGAGGAATAAAATATAGAATGGTCCAATGTACATCAAAAGAAACGCATACTGCAGCTCCAGATGATTACTGCTATGCTCATCTACGTCCAGCAAAATCTTTACCCTGTAATGGACATGCTTGTCCTCTCTGGAATACCGGAGATTGGAGTCAGGTCAGCACCAAACTATTAGCTAATTTCTACCTATATGAAAGCCTTTGGTCAATCTCGTTTATATAATAAGCTCGTTTATTGTTTCTGGGAACCTTTACAGTGTGATGTGAAATGCGGAGATGGTTTCCAGCATCGTCAAGTCCGTTGCCAGAGCCCAAGGGGCGATATCCTACCGGACACGGAATGTAACACCATCGAAAAGCCAAGACACGCGAAAAAGTGCTGGAAGGATTGCGTGACTGATCGTATAAATAATCCTAGCTCCAAGAGTAGCTATTCTCGCAGATGGCGTACCACTAATTGGACTCCTGTAAGTTAATTTAATAATAGATTTTCAATACCTGTATAATCAATCAATATTTCGTCTTCTAATTTCTGCTTATCGTTGGCTATAAAAAATTGTCCAAATTCTCCCTAACAATTGAAAGAATTAAATTCGATAGAAGATACATGAATGAATTCCATAAAGGTTGAAAGGATTGTGAAGGCATGCAAAGCCGAAATAAATATTTTACAGTGTTCTAAATCATGTGGCGGTGGAATTAAAACGCGAAGAGTGGAGTGTACTATCAAGACAGGACGTATTGAGCAACCGGTGAAGGACGAGCAGTGTACAAGGCTTGGTCTTGTCAAACCAAGATCTCAAAGACCATGTCAACGAATACCATGTGACTATACTTGGCAAGAGGGCAGCTGGTCTGAGGTACCTCTGAAGCCCTAAAACCCTCGCAATTTCAATCACTTGGTCGTTCCCACCGCATTCTCGTATTCATCCCTATCATAAGCTATGGCTTGTTAATTTTACTATCATATATCTTATTATCCTTGATACCATTCAAATGCTTTCTTGGGAAATCAATTACTCGTAGATTATCGAATCAAGTTTGACATGCATGATTCACCCCAATAGACTTCAACACATTTGCGACTCTTAACTGATTTTTTTTTTTCTTGGAAATCAATCTCGACAATCAGATAGAACATCAGAGTTAGTTACTATGAGTGGTGGAGTGAAAGGTCCAATTAATAATAACCTGTGATTTAAACTGTGATTTTATTCATTAATTTTATTTTACACAACAATTGTAACTCTATAAAATTTAGTAACAAATTAATTCAGTTGGATAACGATGAAATAGAAAATGATCAATACTTTTGGAGTTTTCAGAACTAGATTATTTACGATTTTTTTCTAAAAAAGATAGTCAAGTTAACTTGAAAAAAAAACCTGACACCGTTTAATGCTAACTCTGATCACCAAAAAAATATTTAATGGGTTCGGTACCAGAGAAATAATCGTAGAAGTAGTAAAAAAGTATCGTTCCATAAAATAATAATTGCTTTTTGAATGCTACATTTTATTACTTGGGCAATTGGACAACAAGAATTGGGCAACAGTAAAAAAAATTCATGGACATTATAAAACATCAACAAATTCGTCAAAATTGGCCACACAGCAAGTGTTGATTTACATTAATGCGAGTTTGTTCGATAAATAATGCGAAATAAATTTGTTCTGCAGTATTTAGATATTCATTTACACTGTAATAAGACTTATTTTTATTTAATTAATGTATGAAGTTCTGAGAAAGACTTGGAGCATATTTACACGGTACACATCAATGTCTTGATATCTTGCAATATTTATCAGTCTATCAATCATTTGTAATAATCAGATTAATTTACTCAGAAATGATTAAAAGATTTAAACAAAAAAAAAAATTATTCCTTCTCAACACCACTATACAATGTCAAGGTGTAGAGATTTCCAATTTATATCTGCATATAATCTTATGTAATAACACTTGATACAAGAGTTTATTAAAATTAATGAAGACAACTGTCATGATAAAAAAATACCGTGTGAATATGGAATAGTCTTGATGTCATTTAAACATTTGTTTCTAATCTTTAATCAACACCGATGATTCCATCTTCTATCTGGAATGCCAATGCATTTGTTTAAATAATTATTGACTGATGAATTGCATTTAAACATTATCGTCTTCATGAAATTTATTAGAAATGGAATTATCAATGTATCTAATTGTGATTTTAAACTAAGCATGTGCATGGTATTATAGATTGGTATCTATTTAATAGACAGAGGAGAAGAGATAATTAATATAAAAAAAAATTTAATTTCTCGAATTCTCTTTTGTCTCTTACATTTCTTAGAATTAATAATCTGTAGGTCATAATTTTATTTCTTTTTTGTCTGTCAAGTGTTCAGCAGAATGCGGTGAAGGAACTCAACGGCGCGCCGTCACGTGCCACAGGACTAATCGGTATGGCTGGATCGATCCTACGCCAACTGATGGATGTCCTATTAGTGAGAAACCTAAAGGAGAGCAGCGGTGTAAATTACAAGAGTGTACGGATAAATTTTACTGGACCACTGGTCCATGGAGAAAGGTATTTATTTCAAGTTGAATAATTCATTTTTCTAAAATTTTATATCTATTAACATCATTCAACTTGATATTTTCATTTGATTTACAGTGCAGTCATCAATGTGGTAGAAAAGGAAGACAAATTCGTCGACTATTTTGTCTTGATAAAGCTGGTAAAAAAGTACCGAGGTACAATTGTCCTCGGCAATTCAAACCCAAAAGGAAACGTAAGTGTAACCAGAGACGTTGCGGACCTTTAACTTGTTTGGATGCGCAAAAGAGATTTAAATCAACGAAGGATGGCGAGTACATTCTTCTGGTAGGTGGGAAAAATATGTCTATTTATTGCCATGCTATGGCAACAAACGAGCCTCGAGAATATCTTACACTGCCAGCTGGAGATCGCGAGAATTATGCTGAGATTTATGATAAGAGGTAATTATTTTTTTATAGCTGATATGAAACTCAATAAATAATATCTAATGTCATCATTTTCATTTCCTAGATTAAGCGATCCCAATAAGTGTCCTTACAATGGTCAAAGGAATGATAGTTGTCATTGTGTTGATGACTCTGGTACCATGTCAGGAAGAACGATGTTCAAACGAGTTCGAATTGATGTTGGAAAATTAATTATCATAGGTAAAAGCTATTATTATTACTGCAATAAAATGAAAGCACATATTTACATTTTAAATAATTATTAATTTAACTTGTTTTACTCTGTAGCAAATGACTACACGTTCTCCTGGACAAATGGAGCAAACCGAGTGGAATATGGCAAAGCCGGTGACTGTTACAGCCTTTTAAATTGTCCCCAAGGGCGGTTTAGTATAAATTTAAGTGGTACTTCTCTGAGACTGGTTCCTGAAGTAACATGGAAGCCTTTGAAATCCAGAGCTCATCTTGCCATTAATAGAATTGTAAGTAAACATTCCATTAATATTAATGCCAGGTTAAAATAAAAATGTGATTATAATTAAAAACTTGTTTTGCAGAATGATCAAAGGGTTTATGGAAAATGTGGTGGTTACTGTGGATTTTGTACTCCAAGTATAGGTTTAAAACTTGACGTATTACCACCTTGGTCGCTTTAATTTTTTATTAATAAAATAAATAATTAATTTTATCAATAAGAATCATCGACTGATGGGCTTGCCAAGTGTTTGTTGTCCACCTCGAGTGATTTATGCGTTAGTAAGTCAATGATAACGCGTTTGAAGAATGGGAATTTAAACCATCTTCGTTCTAGTATTAATAACTTATTAATTTAGCCATAAATTTTATTCTATGTCGTAAATAATTATTGTATACAATTAATCCAAGCCGTGAACGCACAATGTACGTAAAAAAATCCGTTAGTAAGAGGAGAAAACTGTGTAAGAGAAAAGTTGAGTTCGAAAGTTTTAAATAAGCATTGAATATTATCAAATTGTGCTCTCTGTTTTAATTATAGAAAAATGATAAAAACGAACTCACTGCCATAATATTTGTGCCTTCGTTTAAATAAAATATTAGCTTTGTTTGTAATTCAAGAATGGATAATTTGTATCCTGTTGTCATGATCAGTGTTCTTATTTTTTTTATACAAAATGTTATAAAAAAAATGTTAGAAAATGTTAGTCTTAAGGATAGTAGCGGTATTAATAGTTGATAAATGTCGAAAACTGTACCTAAATGTCTGTAGAACAAATCATTGAATTCTTTCATTTAAATTATTTCAATCAAAGTTTAGTAGAATTTCTTAAGTGACATGATCACAACAGCCTGTCAAAGAACGGCATGTAGGAATACTATGGTTTCTTCATTGTGCACCTAGACTTAAATTATATGTTTGCATGGAGTTAGTCATCGGTTCTCTGTCAAAATATGTTTCTTATCGATGTTTCCATACATATAATTCTGTTCGTGTGCCTATATTATATGAGTTATTAACGAGAATGTTATCTATAGTATGACTTTAAACTGTCGATATAAATATTTTGTGATGGTTGAACAAAATATTTTTCTTTAAGATGATACAGAAAAATATTAACAAGAACGACTAAAATATCAAGAAAAAATAGCAATAATGTCATTTCATATTGCCATCAAACGTCCACGTGTTTTTATTTCGAAATTTTTATGCAAGTCTGACTAGTAATTTATTAACAAATCCTATTTTTTGATTGTATGTAAGAATAAATTAATGAATTTTTTTTAATATACAACAAAATATGTATTGTGTATAACGAATAAAAATCTGTAAAAAATGATTCATGTGAGCTCATTCGGATATTGTATGTATTATTTATAATTATTAGGTTGGAAAAAGCAATGAGCAAAAGCTTTTGTTAACATTCTATATATATATGATCTGCAAACATAAGTGATATGGTCGGGGATTCCTTGCAACAAATGTCTTATCAGTATTCTGTCTTATCTCATTTGATACAAAAGAAGTGGAATTGCTCTTATATAAATTAGCAAACGCTCCGATATTAATTTCAATTTGTAATTAATTATTGTTGAATTCAATAGAGACGACGTAATAATGAATTGCTTAACTTTACTGTTCGTGCTGATTACTCTCTTCAGTATTAAGGTATTTTCATCATTTTGAATCATTTCGAAAATATCATTATAAATTATTAATAAAATTTAATTTAATTTTATTCCAGGCTTTGGCATTAAATCCAACTGAAGGGATAACTCGACTGAAAAATACTGTTAATTCAGTGTCAAATGATCTTACACGATATAATAATAATCTGGAATTTAATCTCAATATGAAATTGAGTAATCTTAAATTGACTCAGATGACAAATGTTAATAATGCAGTTAATCCAGCTCTCGACGATACTCGTGTAAGCTTGGATGAATTTTAAATAACTTATAATTCAATATGAAGTGAATAAATAATGATTGAAGATGGTTGTGTAATAATTATATTTTATTTATAAATAGAAAGCAATAGCCGAAGCCAAAAAACAAGGAAAATATGCTGATCATTGCTATGAACCAACAAGAAGTCTATTAGCAGATGCTAGTAAAACTGCTTTCCGACAATTAGATGATTGTGTATCAGACCAGTTGAAAACTTTACAACCAGTCCAACAAAATATTAACAGTCATCTTCTTGTAAGTACTTCTGATTAATGAAAGTAAAAATGACTCTCTTGCAATTGTGAGTAATATCTTCTTTCATATTTATAGAATGGAAAATTATTGCTGTCTAAATTGGACGGTATTGCTATTAGCTGTGCTTCAGCAGGTTCACCGATGAATGTACAGCTTTGTATAGCACAAAAAATGCCTGAAGCTAATGGTGCAGTACAAAATTACCAATCGGTAGCAAATCAGCTCAAGAGTACTGGAAATTCACTTTCAAATGCTGCTGAAGTGGATACAATTCGATGCTTCCAAACTCCTATGAGTAACTTGCATAAATCAGTATCATCAGCAAGAATTTCAGCTACTACTTGTATTCACAATGCTCGAAGCGCTAGAAATAGTAAAAAATATTAGTGTACATGAATAACTGTTAAGATTATTTCATTTCTTTTTTTGATAAAATAGATTTAAATAACTTATACATAATTAATAAATAAATTTCGTATTCAATTTCTATGATTAATTAACAACCTATGCGATAGTACTATTTTAAAAAATCGATATTTTATTATTCAATATATTTCAAAAGGAAACTTTTATTCTTATTTGACGTAAAAGATAAAATGAAAAATATAAATTGCATAATTGTGTAGAAAAGCAAGGTAATGCGATAAGCTAGGTAATGAAACGTGCATTGAGTTTTCAATGTGTTCAATAATTATATTACCAAGCTGTTAGTTAGTTCGTAGTATGAGTTAATGTGCCCTATAACACTGATAATAAAAAATATCAACATTTACATTCGCCAAGCTTATAAAGAGGAGTCAAATTAAGTTTAAGTTTTCATAGTGCCTGTCGAACTTTTTGTGCACAATGAAACATCCAAATAAACATTTGGCGACTGTTTTCGCTTTAATTTTAGCATTGGGATATGTTAACGGCGGAAGTGAGTAAGATATATATTTATCAATAAACAAACATTAGAATAATTTATTCATTTTAATTGATTTTAGTTGTCAAACGTGATGAAGATGATGATGACGAGAATGGTGGACTGACTGGAATGGTAGTTGGTGTAGTAGATTTTACTCGAGAACTTCCACTTGTTGGGGGTATTTTTGGAGCTGGAATTGATACTGTTACCGGCATATATCAAGGTGCTCAAGATGTCACTGATGGTGCAGTTGGGAGAATTCTAGGAGGTGCATTCCCTTGTACGATTTCCTTAGAGTCAGGACTTGTCTGCTCTGGTACTACCGTCAACTCTAAACTTAGCGATCTCGTTAAAACACTTATGGATCCAATACCTGGTATTGTAATGCCTCAATTCATAAAAAATTTTATCACGTTTGTTATTAATTTGCTGGCTGAACCTACATTGGATGTTATTTTCGGAGGAGTTCCATTACCTAACATGGTTGCTGCATAAGTGTTACTTTTATTATAATTAATGTTTAAGAAACAGTTTATACGTAATTTTATAAGTTATTGATGTGCTTTGTATAAGAAAATAAATAAAAACTCAAAAAAAAATTACTATCGTGTGTATTTTATTTATCAATAAATTAAAATAGTAATTAAATTATAAAGATAAAATGAGGTCAATCAAAAAACCTTTATTTAATAAATATATTTAAGTAAAATTTATTAATAATTATTCAGATTATTTGATTTACATAATATGTAAAAAAATTTCTAATAATCAAATAATATCTAATATATGAGCCATTTGGTAACCAGCGTGTAAAGATAATAGCATCTGTCTAATATCATCTGAAAACAAATCAGAATCCTGGAATTCAACAATTGCAGAATCCAAAAGTGGAAGTAGATCAGATTTTACAACACTCCATAACCGTATGCCGATTCTTAATGCAATTTCTTGTCCTACTTCCATCATATAAGCCATGGCTTGATCAAAATCCAAATCATTTAATTTAAGTAATTCATCAAAGTTCATGTCACCCTCCGCATCAAGTGTATCCATCAATATATCCATCCATGTCATCATATATTGATAGGCAGTCAGTACAAACTCAATTGCCCTTATAGCTAGTTCGGTTAAAGAATCAATGTTTATTCCTTGAAGCTCTGTTGATTCTGAGTCTGCATCTGTTTCAGGTTCTGATGCAACTTCTCTTCGTAATCTTTGCTTTTCTGGTGGTGGTGTTTTTGTCAGTCCAATGAAGCTACCCACATAATTGAAAGGTGCAAGCATGATGGATAGTATTGGTGAAATTATGTTAACAATCGGTTGCAGAGTGTAACTATAAGCGGTATCAAGAATGTACCCAATCAATCCCTGTGTTTTATCTTCCAACGATATAGACGTTCCATCGCCTTTAAGAAAATAATAAAAAATATATTAAAATAAATTAAAAATAGTTTAATTAAGAACTATAAATGCTTGAGTAATATGATCTATTATGATATAATAAAAAATAAGTTTACATGCCATAAAGACTAGGGCCTTGCTTATTAGGATGCACTGGTATCATGTACCAGGGAGGAGGTATAGCAGATATCGGAATTGGATCATTTTTCACTTTGGTAGCTGCATATGTGCAAGCTAATAAACTAACCACGAACACAAGCAATGTTAACTTCGACATTATTGTTCTATTCTAAAGAATAGAAATGACAAGTTTTTTACAATTCGCAATATACGTCCCCTTCTTAGTGGTCAAGCTTATCACTAAAATACTAGTTATTACAAATATGTCGGACCAATTATTGTTTTTATTCTTACAGTGAATCAATCACTTTTTACTTGATGAATCATTGAGATATATTTTCGAGAAAGGGTCAAAAACTTTAACTGCCAGAAATGGGTTTAATTATATTGATAATGTTATGAAATAATAATTGTAGAGAGACAAAATATAACATTTCAGTACAGTGGACTCATTAGAATTGATAAATATTAAAAAAAACAGAGAAATACTGTTGAAATATGGCTTTAGTCATTATAAAATTATGGAAACTAATTATTATATTAAAAAATATTTGATAACTATTCATGTAGGTAAATATTATGTACTTTATCAAATTTCAAGCATCAATGCCAAGAGTATATTTAATTATTCATAATTATTTTTCGCAAAATGACGTCAGGTTTTATCTATTGTTATCATGTTGTTTGTAACTGAGTCACAGTTAACTCTAAAAGGTTTTTAAATGTTGAAAACATTTTTCAACTAAAGCTTACAATCATAATTTATATTTAAGAAATAAATGTTAACATTGAACAGCTTTAAATATCCTTAACTCATTACAATGTAATGAATTTTCATGACTATCATTCACTTCAACAATAAATTGCTTTTCATGCTTCCAATTGCTTCAATGAATTTAAGAAGCTCTTTACATACAAAAACAAATTAGTATTCTTAAATAATTTTTACTTTATTACATTCATATTGAATTAAATATTTTCCTTGCAATATAAATATCCTCTAAAATTTGTTTATTTTATAAAAATATTACTGTAAAATTAACTGCATAATTCAAAATGCTATTACTAGGAGTTTTATTTAAGTTTATTGATAGTTTCGTCAGTTTATACATTGTTACTTATAGAATAAAATAAATACATAATTAAAAAAGTCATTGATGTGCATTGTTTATTATTACCACTAAATTAGCTTGGTTAAAACTATGTTCATAAAATATTATTCTTTCTCTTAAAACTTTTAACTGCTAGCAGTAGTAGTAGTAGATTCAGTAGCTGTAGCCATAGTTACATTAACTTTAACTGGTGTACAAGAATATTCCATCTTCGATAAATTGTAAATTGTGCAGGGTAATTGAACTCCTGCTGTACGTATTAGAGCACTGTTTATAAACTGAAGAACCACACGGCTGAATGGTCTTAAATATCTCAGAAGACCACCAACTACACCATCAGATGTTCTTGTTTGCATCGCTAGATTTGGTGCCGCGGCAGACGTTGCATCACTACCTGACATACCTGGAACCAACAATTGAATGTAATTTTTTCTTTAGCATGTAGATAAAATAAATTAGTAGCTTACCTTGTCCTTGAACAACTGATGCAAGAAAAAAAGAAAAAATCAAAATTCCCAGTACATATTTTAAACGACCCAACATGCTGAATTCTTAAATTACCTCAGAAATGCACATACAGCAGTTATCGGTCTAATGAAAAATTCAGTTCTACCTTCTAGTATTTATAACTTACGGCCAAGTTATTTTACCATTAGCTCACGTCAACATTTTTACAAATTGTTTTAGTCTTGGTGAGCTTCATTTAGTTGCATAATGAAATAATATTACTGAAGTATTATCGAAAACTCAACTTATGGAAGAAAATAGAAATAATAACAATTTTTTGACTGAAATATATTACCATTATTTGTCATCTTTTATGAAAGAAGTTTTTAAAATAACAATAATTCAAAGAGTCGTAAAAAATTAATATTTTTTCTTTAAAAGATAATAAAAGGATTAAACTAGTCAGTTTAGGTCTACTTGTTATGACTGGACTACCATTAATTAGATCTGCTACCTAGTTAGCAATGTGCAGAGTAGAATACATGATAGATATGGTCATTTTCATAGGCATAGTATTAACGTTGCATCTCAAAATAGCTGACAATATCAATGTAACGATTAAAGGGTTGACGTTGAGGATAGGGATATTATAGTTGTATCGAACGAAATTCATATCATGTCCAACTCTTGTCTAACATCGTAGATAAAGTCAATAATGTTGACCTAGGAAGCAGTTAAACTGACTGAAACAATACTGGAATGGAATGATTTAATATTTTATTCTGAATAAGTATGGAAACAATTCATGAACATCACTTCGATTTATCAGTGTAATGCAATGGTCTACAATAGAAAGGTACATCATTCCTGTTGTCCTGTTTTTCTAAACTACTAGGAAAAAAATAGCTATGAAGATATCCCAACTTTTAGTGTTATCTTTAATAATTTTACAACCTGTTTATTGCCAATTAATCAGACCTAATTATATTTATGAACAAATTATCTATGGTATCAAGAAATACTATAATAATGAGTGTATTTTATTAATTTATGCTACACCTTCTTCAGAAATAATTCAAGGTAATTAATGTCTATTAAAGCATAAATTATTTCTTACCTTCTTTATTTTCCTAGATGTTGATCAAGGTACCAGGCTAAAAGATCTCCAAGAATATTTCAGCAAACTTAAGATACGGACACTTATGATGGATATTGAAACCTTTGTGCTAGGAGTAAAAATACTTAAACAGTATAAAATGGCCTTTGAATATTAGACATCATACTTAAGAATTGTATTATTCATTTATTGCAGGTCAATGAGAGTATTTATCACATTAGGAGACCACTTTTTGTATTTCTGAATGACTTTAGTGATATCAGAACACAGTTCACGACTGTAAGGATTTAATTATTCGAAGCAAAAATTAAATCCATAAAATTTTATGAATCAGTTATTATTTTATTCTTCTAGATGATAGCACCCTGGACAGACATGGCTTATCCTCAGTGGTTGATATTTTTTCGTGATCAAACAACGATTGAATATTTTTTTTCTCATATTTATATTCCATTTGATTGCGAATTCATGATCTCCAAGAGTTATACATACTCAAAAAACCGAGAAATAATCACAGAAATTTATCAGATCGACAGAGGAAAAGAATTACGAGAACAAACTTTTGCAATTTGGAGTGCAAGAACAGGAATAGAATTTCCTAAATTGACTCTTTATCAACGACGTAACAATCTGCATGGCCATCGATTGAAAGTCATTTCAATCGAAGTAATTGGTTCAATTAATTTTAAATAAGTCACATAAATTATTGCAGAGATGTTTTTATTGGATTGCACATTGATAAATTAGAAACTTCACTCAGTTATTAGCTAGCCATAAATTTTTTATTGTAATTATTTTAGATATATTAAGCCAGTGAATTTTTTAACTAACAGGATCCACCTTCGTCCAAAATAATTCGAAATGAAAGGAACAAGGTGATTGGACTTGCTGGTTTCTTTGGTGGAGTTATAGAATTGTTACAAGAAAGTATGAATTGCACGTAAGCTTGTTGAAGATTTATATTTTCAATCATCGTCTTCTTTCTCATCATTTCCTTTTTTTTGTCCCATTTTCTTATTTTCTTCAAGTTGCCTTTTCTCCAATCTCTCCAACTGATCTTTAATTTCTTTTAATTGACGAGCAGTTTCTTTACGAAAATATTCATTTTGACTCGCAGCAGATCTCTCTTCAAAAATATCTGTCTTCGTTCCATCTCCTTTACGTCTTCGTCGTTCAGAATAAAATTTGTGCAACCCAAATATTCTTTCACTACGAATTTTATTATTGTACCATGAAATACGACGTAGCATGTTATTTGCAAGAAAATATTTTTCAATTTTATAGTTTAATTATTCTTCGTAGATTAATAGGTTGTTTACAACAAAAACTGCAAATTCACATCATACTAATCAAGACCAACCTATAATTGTACTTCAGATTTTTTTTCTCTAAACTATTTTGAACATTAGATCATTATTCATATTATCTTCATTGATGAAAACGCTAGCTTAACACTTTTTATGTTGACCAAATATTTTGTTCCAGCGTAATTTATCAAGCAGCAGATGAATGGGGCCAACTTTTAGACAATGGAACCTGGACTGGAGCGATAGGATCATTGATAAATGGAAATTCCGATATTTTGGCTGCAGAATTGCTGATGACTCAACAACGTTTAGACTTTATTAAATTTACAACTCCTCTTTATTCAACCAAGTAGTTATATTATTTTCAATAACAGCTGATTAAAATGTTCATAAATTATCTGTAATAATTTTTTAGATGTCGTACATATATTAAAAGGCCACAAAATTCAGTACTGTGGGACAAGTTTATCATGCCATTCACAGCAGGTATCTGGATTACACTTGGAATAATACAAATATCAACTACTAGTTCTCTTCTTATTATCAAGTATGTGTCATCTAAAATACATAAAGACATTGAAGATACTGATCGTTCTCAAAGCTACCACGTTTTTTTTGATGTTCTTGGAACACTTTGTGGTCAAGGTATTCATTTTTTAAGCCATAAAAATATTTGCTAGGTACTCAATTATTCTTCAGTCATCTCCAAATAAAAAATTTAATAAATAATAATATAAATTGTTTAGGAATGGATATGTCATTATTGAATTCAATTCGCATGGTTCATTTTGCAATTCATTTGACTGGAGTGGTCGTTATGGCAGCATATTCAGCAGCATTAATAAGTTCATTAGCAATTGTTGTTTATGAAAAACCTTTCGATTCGATAGAAGGTCTTTTGAGAGATGGAACTTATCGATTTGGAATGGCTCAATCTGCTTATGGTTTCTTTCAAAATGCTACAGATAAAGTGATGGTTCGTTTTCTTAATGAAGTCCTGTCAAAGGAAGATGCTTTACCATTAAATTATTTAGTTGGACTATCACAAGTCTGTAAAGAAAACAAGTATGCTTTAATGGCATTAGATACTGCAGTTTTTGAGCTCGAACCATCATTAAGCTGTGAAGTGATTCCATTAAATACTATCGCTGAAGTTTCTATTAGTCTAGCTCTTAGACCTAGAAATCCATTCCGTGAGATCATTAATAATAAGTAAGTTAGAGTTAGAATAATGTTATTACTTGTCCACTTTATTTTATTTCCATATAAAAAAATTTCGTTCCCCCAGTGGGGAAGTTCCCCGATGTTCTCCTCATGGGACTTTGGGGAATGTTTGGGGAGCGAAAAATGTTTTTTTTTCTTTGCTGTAGCATAACTTAGTTTTTTGCTAATAACTCGGGATCTATAAGGCCTATATAGAAAATGCGCATACCAATGGATTCGTGAGAATGAGATCTTTTTATTGGACTAGTTAAAATTATAATATTAATGATAATTAATGCTAAAATTAAAGAAAGTTCCCGTTTTACCCCATTTTAGGGGTGAAAAAATTAATTTTTTAAAAGTTTGACCGGATTCCGCATTTCTACGCAATGAGAGGAAGAGAATGAGTGGTCGAACTTGAAAATCGGACAACTTTGATTTTTCAACCCAAAAAAATGGCAAGTGGTACCCCTTTCCATTTTTTTTGGCCAAAAAATAAAGGTACTCCGATTTTAATGATTGAGGGCTCATTCTCTTCGTCTTGATGTGTAGAAATGCGGAATCGGAGCACCGGTCAAGAAAATTCACTTTAACACCCTTAAAAATGGGTTACACTAAATACAAATTATGGATTATCATCCCCTTGACTTTAAACCCCTATAACTCGCGAACGGACGGTCCAATAACTGTTTTTAGGGACGTTTTTAAAAGCTCAAAATCTAAGCTAAAGATTCATATCCATAAAAAGTGTCTAAAAAATTTCTTTCACCCTTATAATTGAAAAAATATAAAAAAAAATCACATTTTTTTGAGAGTTTGTCAACTATTTTGGCAATTTTGAGGGTGAAATAAATTTTTTACACTCTTTTTCTGGATATGAATCTTTAGCTTAGATTCTGAAGTTTCTAAACAACCCTTAAAAATTATTATTCGATGAATTGGTCAAGAGTTATAGGGGTCCAAAGTCGCGTGAGGGTTGAAAAATCATCGACTCTTGAACTTCGGTTCTCTATAACTCTTGAAAAATTCATCGAATAATGATTTTTGAGGGTTGTTTAGAAACTTCAGAATCTAAGCTAAAGATTCATATCCAGAAAAAGAGTGTAAAAAATTTATTTCACCCTCAAAATTGCCAAAATAGTTGACAAACTCTCAAAAAAATGTGATTTTTTTTTATATTTTTTCAATTATAAGGGTGAAAGAAATTTTTTAAACACTTTTTATGGATATGAATCTTTAGCTTAGATTTTGAGCTTTTAAAAACGTCCCTAAAAACAGTGATTGGACCGTCCGTTCATGAGTTATAGGGGTTTAAAGTCAAGGGGATGATAATCCATAATTTGTATTTAGTGTAACCCATTTTTAAGGGTGTTAAAGTGAATTTTCTTGACCGGTGCTCCGATTCCGCATTTCTACACATCAAGACGAAGAGAATGAGCCCTCAATCATTAAAATCGGAGTACCTTTATTTTTTGGCCAAAAAAAATGGAAAGGGGTACCACTTGCCATTTTTTTGGGTTGAAAAATCAAAGTTGTCCGATTTTCAAGTTCGACCACTCATTCTCTTCCTCTCATTGCGTAGAAATGCGGAATCCGGTCAAACTTTTAAAAAATTAATTTTTTCACCCCTAAAATGGGGTAAAACGGGAACTTTCTTTAATTTTAGCATTAATTATCATTAATATTATAATTTTAACTAGTCCAATAAAAAGATCTCATTCTCACGAATCCATTGGTATGCGCATTTTCTATATAGGCCTTATAGATCCCGAGTTATTAGCAAAAAACTAAGTTATGCTACAGCAAAGAAAAAAAAACATTTTTCGCTCCCCAAACATTCCCCAAAGTCCCATGAGGAGAACATCGGGATAAATTTTTTATACGGGTTCTTATTATTTGTTATCTATTGCTCTTTTTTTTAGTATATTGATGATGCGAAATAGTGGCATACTCCGAAAGTTATTGGATTCTATCTGGAAATATCCTGGAGATGAAGTAATATAATTTTACGGCCATTATTCTTTAAAAGACTTTTATCAAAGATATACATTTCCTATATTTTTTTTATTATCACAGGAAAAAAGACTTTGGGCAGTGGTAGAAATTACTGATATCTATTCTCTTATAGCAGTCGTTACTACTTCCAGCGTTTTAAGTATTATTATGATGTGTGGAGAACGAGCAGTCAAGATAATAAAACGAATGAAAAGAAGAAAACGAAAATTGGCTTCAAAACGTGCATTAAAAAAATTCAGAAAAATAGAACTACACTTTCATAATAATTTTTTAGAATAATATTTTAGAAACAATTTTACTTTATTTGTAATAGATAAGTATTATATTTAATCTTGTAGGAATAATAGTTTCAAGTAGCCTATCTATTTATAATCCAGTTGACAGACAAATGTAAACAATATTCAAAGGACAAGGTTATTTCAACGGTTAAGGATTTACGATAATTGATTGAAATAATTATCATCAGCAGTCTAAATCCAAATTTTCAAGTGAAAACTGTTAATTAAATTGTGACTAAAAGTGAAGTGATATGAAAAATTCAGAGTATTAAACATCAATATGCCAAGAGAAGTAACGCGGAGACATTCATCTTCCCAGTTCCAGTGGGATGAAAAAGAGAATGTTATATTAACAATAACTCCGAAAAAGAAAAATTATGCAAATATAACTATACGAAAATTGAAAGCTAATCACAATCCATCAAAGAATGTCAGTCCTTCGTGTTCAACGAAAGCATTCAATTCTGGTAAGATTTCAGTTTTTCAAGAAAAATTAATACCAAAAGCTGAATCAAACAAAGAGATCACTCATTCTCAAAAAAATAGTTCTGTACAAGGAAGCAAATGTACAGTTCATGGTCCAAAAAGAGCTCGATTAAAGAGAAGTCTTTCTGAAAAAATATTGCCTCTAATTGAGGTATATGAAAAAGTTAATCATCATGAATTATGTACCAATAAGGACGTTTCTCAATTCTTACATAAAAGAATTAAACAGCTTAAAACAGCCGAGAATTTCTCATATGAAATTGAAACACCTATAGGAGTTCTTAATAAGCCAATACCTTATACACCGGTAAGTACTTTATTTCCGCATGATATTCCTTCTGTGACTAACGTTATGAATTCAGTTTGCAAACAATTTTTTTCATTAGACATTTTAATTAAACAGACACTTAGATATTATTTTGGTATTTTAGGTCAAAGTGAAACACAGACGTAGTAAATTACTACTTCAGAAATCAGCCGTTAACATCACAGCCCAATTATTTCAGTACTCAGATGATATAATACAGTTTTATGAAGGACAGGAATTTGAGAGGAAGAGAATTTTCTCTGGTCTCAAATATCGACCAGTTTTATCGAATCAGTGGAAGAATTCAGTCCATAACATCGTCATTTTAGCTGTAAACAAAATAAGATTATTTTCAAGACCATATACTTTTTTTATGGAGATGAACTGATTTATATTTGTTACAGGTAAAATTACATTTTCCACCAGCACTCTCATATCATGCTATTAGGATCATGGATGATCTCCTTTCTATGGGAGTTTTAAATGATGTACCTCCTCGATTAGTTGAAATAACAGCATTATGGTTGATTGCAAAAAAGGATTATCTTTACAGTAAACTTCCAACGGTAAAAAATGTATTTATTTATAGTTAATGATTAATTAAAAAAATATCCAACTAAATTTTAGATAGAGGAAGTCATTGAACACTCCAATTACTTTTTTACTTTGAAAGAATTAATTGATTGTGAATGGAAAATTTTAAAAAATCTCAACTTTCATATCAATTATCCAGATTTGATATCAATAATAATGTATAACGTAAAAACTTATTATGGTTGTGAATATACAAATGTAAATTTCAGTACTTATTATTACGTTGGAGCATATATGGTAAGTCATATTAATGAAAAATATATCATAAACTTCTTTATAAATGTCATTATTTTTATTTTTATAGCTGGACATTTTGCTCTTCAATCAAAAAATAATTCAAAAATCATCACTACTTATAGCTGGAGTTATTTCTTCACTTACAAAAATTCTAATAAATGATAGAATTGATTGTTTTGATACAAAAGAAATAGATCATTGGATTCCAGACCGAATAAAACTTGCGTAAGATTTTTATTTAATTATGATCATTTAGACTTTGAATATTTATTTAACCATATTTTTATTGTAGATTTCCAGCAGCAGAAAAGAAAACTGTCATCGAAAACTTAATTTTAGGTATAAAACGATCCATTAGTATTAATTCACCAGAAAATATTGTATTCAAAAAATATCAGAAAATGAGATATAATCAAATAGCGACCGTAATTAAAAAAAAATTCTGTGAAAATTAGATAGCTTAGCTGAATAATATATTTTATACATTTTTTATAAAAAGGATTTTTTAATAATTTTAATATTACATTATACTCCAATTTTATCATTACATAACTTGTAAGCGTAATAAAAATATAATAAATGGAATGAATGATATAACTTCTCTTTCATGTAGCATTTTTATACTGAACCATAAGCCTGTTGTGTTGAAGCCCAATCATCATAATGATTCCATGAGTTATCAACAGAAACTAATCCTATAGCATCATCTTTAAATAAAATATTACGTTGACCACCCCATGCACCAAATAATTGAAGAAGGTCAGGTCTCTTTGAATACAAAGTAGTAGCAGTTAAAACACCATGAGTTAGTTCTTCTAAGACATTAGCGGTCTTGCCTGCATGGCTGACGATAATTCTTGGTGGTTCTAGACCTAAATTACATTTTTCCCATTGGTCTACTGGAGCTGTTCCACCGCCAGGGCAAAGTAACATTAATTCAGAAGTTTTAATAGCGCCTTGAGTCACATTTTCTTTAGCTAACTGTTGAATAGCAGTATAAGGAACAAAAGCTACATCTCCTTTACCCTCGGTTAAACATCTGAAAATTTGTTTAGATGGTTAAACTCAATTTCGATGTTAGATTTGAATAGAATTAATAGAAATGGAATGTACCTGAGTGCACCTTTACCACCACTAAAAGCTTCAGCTTGAGTGGGTTGGCATTTAGTTGCAGCCATAGTTTGATCATCTTTCGAATCAATATTACCCACGCATTGCTGACAGAGGCTTCCCTTTATTGCAGCGCCTGGAGCACAAGATGCTTCGAAGAACTCAGAGATTGGATCTTCAGATGTTGTCAAGTTGGAATCCTTCAATATTTTCATCGGAGCCAACCACCCAGCAAAGTCCTTTTTGTAAAAAGTATGACACGATTTTTTTCCTCTCAATTCAGCTGAAATATTTTTTTATTATTAATTTCTCTTTCATTATTTTTTTTTTAACAATAAAAATAGCTAATAACATACCTATTTTATTGATTGGACTATCCTTCTTGATAACAGCAACAGCAGGTCTTTCACTAAATTCAGTTTGACCAGGACCATAATTTTCCGCCACAATAGGAACTGCATTAAATTCTTCTTTTGCTTTCTTCACAGAACCACCATCCAGAATAACTAGATCAGCTCCTTCGTCTCGGAGTGTAGTGAGACAAGTTTCTTGATCTTTTTCTAGAATGCAATCTAATCTAGGTCTTGCATCCCTTGAGTGTGCTGCTTTTGCAAGTGCTTTGCACTTCTCAAAACTGTCGTTATCCCAGACACACCAACGAGCATCTCTCTCAGGTGCTCCTGAGTTTCTCTCGATCACATCCAAGTATTTTGCTGTCTCCAAATGTTCTAGAGGGGCTACAGCATTTGTTTTGATTGCAATTGTCTTGTCATTCAATAACAATATGTCTTTCCACCAATCTGCTTGTTCTTTTTCACCAAGTGCTCCCAGTTGTGTTAGTTCCTATAAAAGCGGATTATTTTTTTGCAATTTTCAATTCATCAAATATTTCAAAAAATATCAATTGGAAAAAGTTTTACCTTTTGAACAGCATCAACATCTTTCACTTGACCGTTGGTCATATATCCTTGCCATGGTCTAGCAGCCCAGGTACATGGTTTAGTTTCAGCATTGATAGGAACTTTAGTACCATCAGGACAAAAATACATGAAATCATTGGGATTTTCTGTAGTAGGTACTGCAGGACCTTTTCCAACTGGAAGCCCGAAGAAACGTTTAACGTAAATGACTTTGGTAAATGCCACTTGGCCACCATTATGTGCAAGACAGCGTAGAGCTCCTTCATAGCCTGAATATTTATCTGGGTAATCACAGATGTCTGGATGTTCACAAAGAGCACACATATTGCTGTAAGTTTCCTCTAAAAGAACAAACATAAAAGTAAATGTTACAATCTTTTCTACTTTTAGTAAATATCAACAGAGAAAATCTCATTTTATTTCTTCACTACATGTTATAACATGAACGATTATAGAAAATTATATAAAATTTATGCTTTATAAAATTAATCACAGTCACTTACTCATTCTTTTATTAATTACTGGATCAGGTGACCATTTTCCAACAAGACATCCTTTATTAAAAAGTGTACTTAAAGCTCTAATTTCATTCTCTCTGGCAGAATACTCAGGATCGTTAATGTTAGCAAGGACTCCCATGGCAGTAAGTTTGGTAATGGGAATTTTATAGCCAACATTACGACCTACGCCAGTATGACAGGAATTCAAACCCCGAAGACTATGAACATCAAATATTTGCAAGTCTTTATGAATAACAACCACTGCTTCATATCGATAAGGCTCATCTGGTTCTTCCTTCGTACGTATCTATTTATAAATTATTCTTTAATTAATTAGACAACTCCATGACTAATTATCTATCAAATCAACAATATAAAAATGATTTTATATTACAAAACGTCTCACAAACCTGTTCGACAACGTTATAACCAGCTGACGAAGCAAGATTATTTTTTGCTGCAAGGTACATGTCTTCAGGATCAACAGCAACGACATCAGCTTCTTTTTTTCCTACTCTTTCAATGCATTCGTACCTATCACGACCTGTCACACAAGCAATTGGGATTCCCTTGCTTTCGGAGTCTTTCATCATGTTTACACAATCTTTCCAGTAGATCTCAGGAATACACATTGTAACTAATAATTCAATTTTTTTTTAACTAATCATGAAATAATTATCAATGTGAATATTTCATTTTATTTTACTTACAAACTGAACTTGGAGTAGTTGAATCTGATTGAACTCCATTGAAAACAGCCACCAGGGCAACAATTAGAGTTAGTCCCCTGGATGTCATTGTGGTAAATAAAGTTAATCAGTCAGACGAGAAGATAATGATAAGGAAAATTTTGTCGTGAGTTTAATGATACACCTCTGCGAGATTTCTTTCTTCATATTTGCGTTGCTCATCCTTTTATATCCACTTCCTCCAGTGAGACTGCAGAGAGGGAGACAACTCCTTGTGGTCGCATCCCCACGCCAGATTTTTTTTACAATTTATATCTTCCTCTGTTTTGAATACATTGCACATTATTTGGAATAACCCAGTTATATAATTTTCATTTTTTATTTATGACCTTTTTCAATATTGATAAAAAGTGCTATATCCACCACATTTGATATTACATTATGATATTAATAAATTTTACTGCTGCAATATGATTTGCTTGCCGTAGAAGACACATGGCATCAAATACGTGTGGTCAGTGTATGAAGATGAGATATTTTCAGTGATAATTATGTTTATTTATTAAAATATGTAACCATTGCACGTACAAGTAATTTACATTGCAAGATATCAAGGTTACGATTAGCTCAGACAAATAAAAGCGGTACTTCACGGGAGTAAAGTGATATCTAAAGATTCTTAGAATAAACATTATGCAAGGAGGAAAATGAGCAGTAACAAATGTAATTTGATGTCAGAAGAATACTTAAGATAGCCTAGGGTCAAGATCTTTTAATTTATAATAATCGAACGACTTCTGAAATTTTAGTAAGCCTTTTACATAATTGTAACATTGATGAATTTTAACTAAACTCCATTACTGAATGGTATCATTTACATCTATTTGCTTTGTATGCATTATGAATATTGTTGAGGTCTTTTGCATTGTAATTATACACTTAATCCAGGAAAATAATTAAATAAAAACTAGATTAGCATAAAGATCAATGAATTTATGCATATTTAGAATGGAAATTAATTGAAAAATCACATGGTAAATATTGTAATCTGAACTCGTCGGATTAGTCATCAATCAGATTAAAATAAAAAAAAATATTTATACTGAGTTACAACTATCGTAATTATTTTTCTGCAATTAGATTTATGTTCAATTAATTTTCTAGACATTGATTGTTCTCCTTTTTTTATCTCTAGCATTTTTTAATCTTAAAGTTGGATAAGTTTTTAATCGTAGTAGCTCGAGTTGAGATCGTAAGGATAATAAATCTTCGTAGTTATTCCTAACTTTAGTTATTAGTCTATTTCTCTTCATAATTGCTTTTAATTTAGCACGACGATATCTCTCGTCACTGTCCCGTTCTTCATCATTAGCTTTAAGAGATACTTTGAAAGTAACTAATTTCGTTTTTTCAATTACATCACTGAGTTGATTGTTTTTCTTTTGCCACTCATTAAGCCTCTTAGCAACATTGGCTAGTGATTCTTTTTCATTTTGAAGCATCCTACGAAATCTCTGAAACAAGTTTCCAATTCATTTTAGATCCTTGGGACCTTGAGACAGCTCTTTGTGATTGTGGTGAACGAAAAACATCGACTTGAAATAAAAAAATCGAAAAATATAAACGAATATATACATTTTCAACGTCTAGCTCACCTTCTTGGTCGACATGATACTCCTCTCCCAAGCTTCCATGTCCTTCTCCGACCCGACGATATGCAAATGACGCATCAGATACTTTTGTATTTCTTTCGTGACCTGAAAAATTCATTTTATATCGAAGTAGTCACGTACGAAAATTTTATAAAATATAAAACTTTTAAAAAAAACTACATTAGAATATTTGAATTGAGAATACTAAGTTATTGAATCGTGATAAAATAGACATACAATTAAAAATGAATCTATTGATAAATCATTTTTACCTTAACATCCTGTAAAACCTTCAATTCTTCTTTCATATCTCTCAATGTCATGTTTAAACATTTGTGGCACCATTCTTTCCATTGAATAGTTCGTCGAAAAATAAGCGTTCGATTCATCGCTGTTAGCTTTTTTCGACCAGCCTCAACAATAGAGGAATTGACTCGAAACACTTGATCAAATGCAACGAGTACAGAATTATTGAACTCACGTGGATGCCCACATAAATTTGTTTCAACCTGTCCCATTTTTAACACCAATTGTATTTCCATATCATGTAAAGTTTCAGAATTTTTTTGTTTCAACTGTTCAATTAATTCTCTTAACTGTTGAATTCTATTCTGAGCATTCTGAATAGCTTTTTGATGGTTGCTACATGTTTGTTCAGCTTCAGCCAACTCGATTACAGCACATTTTATCTTAATAGTGAAAACAACAAACTATTAATTTAGACTGATATTAAATTAAACAGACCATTTTATAATTGTCAGGTATCATTTTATTAGTCAAGTAATTCTGAACCTGTTCTTAAATAATGGGATAATGACTAAACCTGTTATGCTAAACGCATCAAACTCACCCTAGTTTCTATTTCTACTTTACTTCGTCGTAATTTGCAGAGAAGGAACCAGTGATTGCTGTCTATTTGAGTTGGAAGCCCTGACGGCATGATATCTAAACTATTCATTCCCTTAAGAAAATCCAAGCATTCACGAGGAAGGATTGGAGATTTGTCTCCACTCAAAATACACTTACTGACTTCTGTCAGATAGATAATTGACGTGCAAATTAATTGACTAGACCGAGGCCTTTTTTTATAATGTCTCAAGAGATAATCTACTATTGGTTGCTTCAAGTCAGAAAATTCTGCACGCAATTTCCCTTCTAGAAGTTTCTCACGTTTGCAAAGATTTTCATAACGATTTTTTACATCATTTACTGAAGATTCTAACACTGGCAATTCTTCCATAAGGTTTTGAAATTCATTCACAGCTGGTGCTAGTTCATTGTTTTCTATCTGTTTGATTTTTTCCACTCCTTTTAATCGCAACTGATGCCTTCTTGATTCTTGCAATCTCATCAAACTTTCTTGCAAAACTGCTGATTCTATTTTGATTCTTTCAAGGAAAAACATTTCCACACTTCTATTAAATTCATTGATATTTTCTTGCAAAGCCTCTAGAAGGAAATAATGAAAATTTTATGTAATCAAGAACAATTTTTTTAAGAAAATAAATTCTTAATTGAAATAGAAAATAGAAAGGAAAAGACTAGTAAAAAAACTTATTTAAATGTGGTTAATGGGTCCATTTTATGGGTTCCATTTATCTGCGGGATTATCAACACTTTTATTCAAATAAAATCTTTATTCAAATAACCTCTGATATTTCAATTTAAATTGAGAAAAAACTTACTTTGAATTTCAATAATCTCATTTTCTAAAATTGATTTATATTTCAATTTTTCGATTCTTAGACTCTCCACAGCCTTCTCATATTCTTTTATAGAAATTAAATCATCTGCAGTATAATTTTGTGGATCTTTTGACAAACATTGTGGCTTTTCGATGTCTTTTTTTATTTCATCTTCCCACCTTGATCATAAAATAATATTTTATTCCTTTAATATCGTAAAAATGATTGATCTTTGATTAATTTGATTATTGTAATAAATACCGGACTTCAAGGACACCACCCATCATCTTCTGTAAAGCTTCCTCACGGAATAAAACTTCAGCAGTACTGGATTCATTTAAACTTATTGAATTATTCATATCATCAGAGTGTGTCGCATGAGTGAAATCATCGATAGACTTATAAACTTCCTCGTCCTCAACCTTCACCACTGTTTGTGGTCTTTCACTATCGTGTAACTCAAGGTGTAACCAATTAAAATCTACAGAGTAATCTAATTGAAACACTTCTCTTAACTCAGATAAACAGTGGTTTATTCTACTGATCTGGTCTCTTGCTAATTTTATGGCTTCTTCTTTTTTAATGAGCATATTTTCAAATAAATTATTAAAGTAATTCTGTAAGACATCAAAGTATTAAATTATATTATGAATGATATTTATGTGCAGAACATTAATAAATTTTATTTATAACATTGAAAATCTGGTTTTAGTATAAATGAAATTTTAATTATAATGGTCACCTTTAATTTTTCCTCTCGTCTTTTGCTAAAAAAACTCATTCTGACACCTTCAGCATAGCTTCCATCACGAGTAATTTGATTGACGATATTATGAGAATCCTCTTGAATCCAGCGATATGAAGTTATGCCAGCTAATGCTAATTTTTCTTCTTCATCCTCCTCATCATTATTTATATCTTTGGTTTTGATTTCTTCTTTTGTCGTTGATGAATATGAAGCTACACCATTTTCCTCGGTACTATAAATAAAATAATCGAAAATAAACCGTACATCATTTATTCAAGTTCTATCCTATTTACCTGGATGAAGAGTGATTTTCTAATATTCTCCACCTTTTGTCATCTTCAGGTATTACAGTCAACATATAATTCTTCACACGAGTTTTTCCATCCAATGATATTAAAATACATTCTGGAACACTCATGGAATCCCAATAAAACTTTTTTAGATACTCTGATACTTTATCTTGACAATAAATTTGAATTTCAAAATTTTTCTGCATTTTTTCTAATTCTAATTGATTTGATTTAATTTTCTGTCCTCGTAATTCTACATTTAAATCAAATGTATCTACGGATAATCTGTTATTTTCACTTTCAAATTCATTTTCATCAAGAAGTTTTTTTAATTTTATTTTCAAATTTATAAAATCAGCCTTTATAGCTAGACGTTCACTATTCATTTCTTCTCTTTCTCTTTGCAATTCCATAGTGTGCTTCCATTCAACCCACGACTCATTTATTTTCAGATCTGATTTTCTAACAAAACTAGTAAGATCTTGCTGTGATTGAATGAAGCTTGTATTCTGATTATCTGGGTCAAATGTAGTTGGAAGAGAGGTCATTTGACTAGCAACTAGATTTCCATTCCTCCCTAGACTAATTATAATATTATCCTGAACACAAATAATGGCATTTTTCACTCCTCCTTCTTGACGATGATGAGTTAGAAGCTTTGTAAATATTTGATTAATGCTTGAATTTTTTCTTATCATAACATATCCATCATATCCAAATGTTAACAATATTTTTGCATAATAATTGATGTTAACATCTCTCAACTTGTGATTAGAAAATATACAGCCGATAAAGTTGATAGTGTTCATGTTCTTCTGTAAGTAAAATATTTTCATTCAATTAACCATCAACAAACTCATTATTCAATTGCTTCATCATGAAAGAGTCGAACCTACAGTTAATTTAAAAAAATATAATTGCTTTGTCAAGTAAGGACTGGCTATAATATCTGAAACAGATTCACCGTAATGTAAGTGTTTGAAAATATTTGGTAACTCAATAACTCTTTCCATCATTGCAGTTTTATTTTGAAGACCATAAACAACTAAATATTTCCCAATATTAGTTAACGGATGAGACTTTACAAGAACCAAAATTTTTGAATGCTGATTATTGGGCTCATAAATTAAAAAATCTGCAATCTGCAATATTATGTTTTGCTAAGTAATACTTTAAAAAAAATGATGACAGTTTATAGAATATATTAAAATTAAGAGTAATTAAAATAAACCATTGGAATAAAAGTAAATATAAGTATCTTACTTGATAAGAAAGTTTAATGAATGTTTCCACTTCAACTTCTACTTTCTTAAAGCCACCCATGATGAATAAACATCCATCACTCTGGTTGGCTACTGCTAGCATCTCACCACCCTGGGAAAACTTCATTTTATCCAGTGGTTGTTTAATTAAAAATAACGATTTTATTAAAACAGGTTTTAATGCATCAACAACATTCAGAATATTGCATGTCCCTGTTGCTGTAGTTGCTGCTATAATTGGTAAAGCAGGATGTGCCAATGAATACAAAACTACATAGACAGAATCAAATTTATTTGCGACAATTTACTTTGGTTTTATGTTCTACCGATGTTGGAAAAAAAATGATACCTACCTTGTCCATACTCATTGAAAGATAAAGTACTTGATAAACTGCCAGTTTGACTTTCAATGATAAGAAGACGATTACAAGTATCAAGAACCGCAATGTGGAGTCCTCTAGGATTGATAGCCATTAAAAATAAATACCCACATCCTTGGTTACAAATCATTTGCATTCGAGGAACATCATCATCTCCAACACTGATTTCAACGATTTCTCCAGTTGATGTACAAAATAAAAGACTGTCCCTCTGTGGATGACGAATCATGTAAATTGGATGAGAAATTGTTTTTACTTCCCAAACAAACTTCCAAAAACTTCCATGCTTAATACGTTCTCCAGACAGTTTTCTGTAAAACTTTATGTACTTGAGTATGTAGAATCTTTTTTAAATCAGTTTACCTTAATTTCCGAATAAATTTACAACTTACAAGGATACGAGATTCAGAATTGACTACTGCTACTCCGCCACGGAAATCAGTAATTAAAGGCTTCCATTGTGGTTTCTCAGAGATAATTGATTCTACAACAAGGTAACGACGTTTTCCATCACACTGTATGCAAAAAACATTCCCAAGTTCATCACAAAGTAATAAATTCCCATCGTATGTCCATGAAACTGATGAGATTTTTTCAGTCAGAGAGTTGATTACTGGAGTTAATAAAATTATTTTGGAGCAGATGTTCATTTCGTACACAATTATTTTTCCTGTCTCTTCTCCCAACTGTGAAATCAACAATGGAGATGAAGCTGAGCATCTAGAGGATAAATATAAATTAATATTTAAATTAGTCAAATACATTTAATTAAGTACAATAATCATCATTAAACCTATTTAAAATGATTATAGGCCACTAACGTCATGCGTTGGAAATTATCCTTAATTCCTGTATCAATAATTTTCAAATTTTCTCCTGTTCTCCATGACCATACTATCAATTTGAAATGAGGATACGAAGTAAGGCTAAAAAGATAATCAGTTCCTCCAAAAATGCAAAAGAGAAAATTACTTCTTTCTTTTTTTTCCACTGGTTGGTAAATACATGTTGAGATTTTTTCAATAGCAGGGTAAGTAAAAATTGATATCGTTGGCTTTATACCACGTTCTGCAAGCGCAAACATTGGTACAACCTGGAAAAAATATTTAATGAACATAAATCGATTAATAATGTTCTTTTAAATTCAGAGAAATGTTCTTACTGGATGTCCTGCCAAACAAGAAGCACCTTCTCCACGTTCTTTACTATCAAACCTTTCTACTTTTTCATCTTTTGTATTTAAATTGATGAATACCACATGAACACCTGAAGCTATTGCTATCACTTCTTTCCCTAGGAAAGCAATATTTTGAACTTTTCCAAATTTCACCCATCTGCAAAAACAAAAGAAATAAATATATTTTTAGTTGAAATTCTTGATCAGTTCCCTTACTTGACTTCACTTGTTGGCATCTAGATGATAAAATCTATTTAATGTGTTGCTGGGAAACGCAAACCAGGTTCTCTATTGATTATAGCCAGATGGCAAATGAAAGACTGATTTTCTTGTAATAAAATTCTATTAGGAGTTAACAAAAATAATTGGATGCTTAGAAGGCATTTTTTTATCTCTCCAGGTTGAAAATGCAAAAATGATGAAAAGAATGATTTTATTACTATTCAACAGAAACAGTTAGTCTCTGTATAAAATTAAGTGGAATAAAGTATTGAAGAGTTCGATTATCATACGAAAATTAGACAAAAAGTGTCATTGATGAAGGTAAGTATGCCACTGGATCAACGAATCATAGCTAAAGAGCAGGTGGGACCGTTATCGCAAACACTGGCAATACATAACAATGGGACTACGCCTTAAAAAAGCTTGATATGTCTTCAACACTTTCGCATTCTAAATACCACTTGATCAAAGTATTAAATTTATTTATTTATTTATCATTCTTGTTGCTAAAAATCGATATAACGGGAACAAATTTATTAATTATGCAACACCCTCAAATTGTAGACATTGTTTTCTCATAATTATTCTTTTCCCTAATAGTCATAATAGTAATTAAAAAGTCTGATTTGAAAATGTAAACCGGTGAAATTCATGGGGGTGTCCCCACCACCTTTCTACGAATATATAGTCTGCATGAAGACAGAAATTTTTTATTTCATTTCCGTTTATTGATAAGTGATGATGTGTTTTATAAATAAATTATCAGTGATTTTGGAGTAAAGAATACAATTGTCAACTGTTTAATTAACTATGTTTAATTCATGTTAATTAGTGTTAATAATCGTATGACTTCTATTTTGGATTAATTGTTAACAAAACTAATTTTTCATTGGTAAGATGATTAAAATAATTTTGCTTTTTTTAAATATTATTTTTATTGGATTGATTTATTTCAATTTTATCATTATAGCAATAATTATCATCTAAATAGTTGTCTAAAACTGATGTACTAAAGATTTATAAACTATATAAGATAAAAAATTAATTAACCTTACAAGCAACATAGATAACATAGAAAGGTATACAAGGGTTAGAACCGTTAGAAGTATTACTATGCAGAACGTTAACCACTTTATTCAGTATTCAGACAGGAAAACTTTTTGATTACTTTATAGTCATTCCGCGTACTTGAATATTTTAATTTTTTTAACTCTATTAGTAGAGTAGTATATATTATAATCAACAGTTGCACACATGATTCCAGGTTTGAAGCACGGATTTTCACTGTTTATGAGATGAAAATGAAGGAGGAAACAAGACTAACTTTGTTGAGTTCATCAACTCTATTTCTCTTAATAGGGATTATTACCACAATAAATGGAGATACAGGATTACCTTTAGACTCATTCAGCACAAATTCATCAACTCTGAATACTGGAGTGGAACCAACGAGTCAAGATGTAGCGAAAAATAATGAAGCCATCAATTCTACACAACAAGTCTACCCAGTTTACTCTAGTTATCCTAATGTTCGATCGAATGTTGTTTCAAAAAAACCAGTTGATACTTACTCGAGGATGAACATTAAACCTTCAATGAAAGACAGTTATTTAGAAGCATTAGAATATTCTCACAAGAGTAAAGACCCTCGTGAGGGAGTTTTCAGAATAAGTGCTAAACCAAAGTATCCGAAAGTCGTTCGACGAGTATACGAAAGCCCAGTATATCGTCCAGTAAATGAATATGGTCCTCCAAAAGAACCAAGTACAACTTACGGCTTACCGAATGGAGTAGAAGAAACAATAAAAAATCCTCGAATAATCCACAGCGGGTCTTCAGGGTCATTTTTCTCACCACCAAGTGACTCGTACTCATTACCGATTCAACAGTCTGAAAGTTTTAACGAGCAGAATCCTTATGGTACCAGTCAAACATCTTATGGCCCTCCCCAAGTCAGCTATGGAGTTCCCAGCACGAATTATGGCCCAGCACCAATGCCTCAGGATGTCTATGGCCCTCCCCAGAATAGTTATTTACCACCGAGACCACCTCAGCAAGGTGAGATTCGAGGTAGAGTATTCAATTCATTGACCCTTTCAAACCTAACTCCTTAATTGTAGGATAAAATTATTTCATTAGAAATATTATTTATTTTATTGCCGAAAGAATAATTATAATCATAAATAACACTAATAACTTTTAAGTATTTTTTTAAAGTTTTATCTCTGATCAATGGATAAGCTGAAAGGGTTAAATTTATTCATAAAAATCATATAGCTAACATTTTTTGTTATTCTTAGGATATGGAACATCAGGATGGAATGGTTATGCTCTTCCTCAACTTCCAGCCCTGCCAACTATCGATTTTTCCTGGCCATTTGCTTTGAAGCTCAACTTTTTCACGATCGCTAAAATACTTCTTAAACTTGTTATCTTCAAAATGATCGTGAAATTCATAGCGATTATTTGCTTGCTTCTTTTTATTCCGAAATTGGAAATGAAGAAGGGAGATAAAGATGATGACTCTGAGAGTGATGATGGAAGAAAAATACAGACATGTAAGTTGATAAGTACATTATCTACTTAATGCAATAATAGTTATACCATCTACGCACTAGTTTTTACGCTTGATTGAACCGGTTAAAAATGTCGTGATCATTGAGAAAAATCACTTCCGCCACCAACGCGAAGTTTATTGAAAAAATTGACGTTGTTCAAGCCAGTGAATTATTTTTACATGAGAGAAAATTGAGTTGGACGCAGTTTAAATTGTTTTTTTTTCTCTTTTACAGCTTATTCTGCCCTTGAACAACTTAATACCCTAACAGCCAATGTTCTGGATGCTATTGAAATGTATCAGAATGAAAATCAGGAAAGTAAAGGAAGGGAACAATGTACCAATAATCGTTGTCGGATTGCTAGATTCCTAAAATCAGGAGAAACATGGACAAATCAAATAGCTCTGTTGAAAGCTTATTTACTTGAAGAACGAATTTCAGAAAAAGAAAATTTAATAGAAAAAACCTAATGGAGAACTGAACAGTAGTGTTGAAATTTAATTTATGAATTTGTATTGATATTTATCGACGTAATTATACTATTTATTTATTTATTTATTTATTCAAAAATATATTTTATTATCAACGCAATATTTCTAGTAGAATAATTGATTAGCCAAATGCTATTTGAATGTGTTACGGTGGCGTTTAAACTAAATTAAGGTTGAACTCAAACGCTTTAAAATCGATAAGTCAACTAAGGTGATATCGATATCAAGCGGGTTCAGGTCTAGATAGCTAGAATGTTTCAACCTGGAGTACAAGCGATGAAAAAGAGATCAAGCTTATTTTGCAATTTAAATGAGGACTAGCGTGGTCATGTTCGAGCTGTAAGATAACAGCGAAACGTAAAATTGTAATTGGCATAGTGTACTCGAATACAAAGTGTCAAAGAGCACACCAACGAAGATTGACAGATTGGCCTTTTAAATCAGGCTTATGGTAAGCGTGAAATGATTTTGATTTGTTTAGCATTCTCGTCCAATTGACGGGAAGTTTCCACCCCACTTCCGTTGGTGAAAAATTTGGGTCAGTAGTCTTGAATGTGCATAACAAACTCTAATAATCTTTGATTCCGTACAATAGTCCAGGTTATTCAATCATCATTATCAATTGGTACTATCTCCTAAGTCATTTCACTTGGCTCAAGTTATTAAAACGATAATTAATTATTTTACCTTTTTTAATTACTTTCACATACCTTTTAATACTTTGATAGATTTATTGATGAAGTATGATTAATGATTATTTTATATTGCGATAGTAAACATGAGAAAAACAAGCTGATTGTTTATTCCGTTGTCCTTTACGATATTTTTTATTATTCATTTATTGTATGACTCATCATGATAGCTTTGAGAAATATCTTCAAGGATAAACTTTTAAATCGAGGCTCCTAGATGTTTCTGAACGTCAGACCAAGTCATAAACCTTTCATAACAAAGGTTTGCACGTGATTTAATCTCTAATCATTTCATATGAATGGAGTAGCAAATTGGCAAACTGATAATACCAGGTCAACAGTGTAAGCACGTAACATCGCAGTAGCAAATAGAGATGAGAGTATTCGTGAGAGTGATAGAAGACGACAGTAGCCAGTATTCACCGGTCACTTCTATGCAATGTTGTTAATGATGCTTACATTATCAGGTGGGGGGTCATACATACAATTGGTTATAAACGCCGATGGTCCAGCATTGCTGAAACCAGTCTCTTTTGCTAAATCGTTCGAGATAGAAGAAGTATTTTAAGACACTTGATATTTCTGTGAATTGTTATACAATAGTATTTTATTAACATGAGAACCTTTATTGTCCTAGGTAAGTTGTGTGATAAATTGCTTTTGTTGTTGATTTTAATTTTATTCACAAAGCTTTACTGTTAGAAATATATTCAAGTAAGTTAACTATGTTTACTATGAAAAAAATTCGCAATTTTGCAGCTTTGGTTGCCGCTTGCATTTTTGCCATCTGTAATGATGCCTATGCCTGGCCATCGGATGACAAAGCTAAAGATATGAAAGAAACATCAACTACACCAAAGAGTACTAAAGATGCAAACAAAAGTCTGAAGGATGCTAAACGAACAAAGAAAGAGTGTGAGAAGAACTGTCAAGCTACTTACGAACCTGTCTGTGCTCATGAAATAACCAACCCTAGTTTTAAACCACGAACTTTCTCCAACCAATGTGCGATGGAAACCGTTGCATGTGAAATGGGATGGAGTAAGTTTTATTAAAAAATTTTTTAAACTTTTTAAGTCATTAATTTTTGTGTAAAAATATTTAAAAAAAAAATATATTCAAGTGTTAGAAGCAATTATTAATTGAACGATGGTGGTAATGTTAATTATTTTGTTATTTCAGAACTCGCTGTCAAAAATAAGGGTGAATGTCCTGGATCTGATGGAGTCAGATTGTCTTAATTGTATAATAAAACCAATGCTCTCTCTACTACACTCCACACCATAAATATATCGTCTGTGCATGTACTAATTTAATTCACATGTAACTACTTTATTGTGTAGATTATATTTAAAATCATCTGAACATTAAATATACTTTTACTAATTAAATCAATAAATTTCGCAATATTATCATCAACAATGTTTTATAAATTTATTGTGTATCAGTCGAAAGCTTCCCTTTAAAAGTAACATCCTGGATAAATTAAGACTTCACTATATTAAGAGTCTCAATAAATGTGTTTACTGAACACATTAATTAGCCAATAATGAGGATGCCTTTTTGCTTGGAGCAGAAGCCAGTACGTTCCGAGATTTACTGCTGTACAATGTCTAGATCCAAAAAAAGTTGTACTCATCTTTTAATGATCAAAAAATTAGTGGTGATTTATGTTGATATTTTATTAATTTGTTTAAGTAATGCAAGTGTTTGTCCTGATTCATTGAAGAAATGTGATGATTCTAATCAACAAACTGAATCTCAGCTTTCAATTAATCTTGAAGATGTAGAGAGTCGAGTTTCAAGACTGGAAAGGCGCCTTCGAGCAATGGAACAACCAAGTAATTTTATTTATCAATTCTTTTTATCTAATAATTTATTAGAAAAATAATATTAACTTACTATTTTTTTTTCAAGTATGGCAGATTAGAGGACGACCAGATGATTGGGAGATTTGCGTTGAAGGACCTTGCAAATGTAGGCCAGAAATGAAGTCTATTTCTTGTTGGAAATATGGATTGTTGGATATCCCAGCTGCTCAACTTGTTCCTCAGGATATATTGAAGCTGTAAAAAATTACAGTATTGATTATTTTAATAATAATAATATTATAAATATATTAATTAATAACTAACGAAAAATGTATTGCATTTAAGAGATTTAGGAAGTAATCAGCTATCATCTTTACACAGAGATACTTTTCGAAATCTAACTCAACTTCGTGATCTGTATGTATTCTAATAATTTTTTATTTATTTTAATGATTGTTCTTTTAATTATTAATTTTTTTTTAGGGATTTAAGTAATAATATGATAGAACATATACCACTGAATGCATTCTTTTTTTTAAACAGTCTGACCCACTTACGACTTGGTAGAAATCTTTTAAGAGATTTAAGTCCAAACCAATTTAGTAAAATGGAATATTTAGAAATTGTGTAAGAAATTACTTCATTTCTAATAACACTTGTAAAACTGGTTCATTTTAAAATGATCATCTATTCATTTCAGAGATATTTCTTCTAACAAATTGCAAGCTCTTCCGGAAGGCTTATTTGCATCAAACGTAGCTATTCTTCTTCTAGACATTTCATCTAATCGACTGACTGAGCTGCCAAAGGGTATTTTCAGTGGTTTAAAAAATTTAGAAGACCTTTTGCTTTCAAAAAATCGATTGTCCCACCTTGATGTTAACATACTGAAAGATTTATACAGTCTTAAAAGTCTGAGACTTGAAGAAAATCTTTTACGAGATCTTCCATTGGGGATTTTTAACTCTCAAGTCAATCTAATTGAATTGAACTTACGAGATAATCAACTAAAAACGCTTCCTGCTAATTTATTTATTAAATTAGAACTTTTAACTGCTTTAGATCTTTCTAGTAATATGATAAATCAGGTAAATGTGAATTAAAACTAATATTTTTATTACAAGAGATCTTTTTTAATAGTTTAACACAATTTTTAGATCCATAAAGATGCTTTAAATGGTTTGAAATCATTAAAAGAATTACGATTAGGTAAGAATCATATCAAAAGTCTTCCTAAAGGAATCTTTCTTTCAACACCAGCATTACAACAGTTGGTTCTATATGCAAATGCATTAGAAAAATTGTCTGATGGTGATTTTCAAGGTTTAACGAACCTTACCTCACTTTTTCTTCATTCTAATCGAATAAAATACCTTCGATCAGATATTTTGAAAGATACGCCCAATTTAAGAAAACTGTAAGTTTTCTTCAGTCATAGTAATACGTTTTAATGTTGTTAATTTAAATAATATAGTCGTTAAAAATAGTTCTCTAATTATATTTACATTCATAAAAGTTTAAAATAAATTGTCAATTAAAATTGTAATCACAGTCACATTCTAAAAATCTAATAATCAAATTTAAAAATTATTTTAAACTTGAAGAAGGATAATATATTTTCTTGTATAAATAAATACTAATTTGCAATATACCGATGGTCTTCTTAAAAAATTTCTTTCACTGAATGTTCTATGTACAGATAAAAGTTATATTTTTTTACAGACAGCTGGAAAGCAATCAACTATCTTATGTACCAGGACGTTTTTTTGACAGCCTTCAAATGATTCAACAGCTGCGGCTTGCTCGAAATCCATGGCATTGCGATTGTGAAGTGGCTTACCTTGCAATGTGGTTAAGAAGAAAGTATTACATGCAAGCAAATGCTAGTAATACAAGTCGTACTAATTTCTGGCAGTCTGGAGCTGGTGCAATGTGCCTTGGACCTGGAACATTCGGTGGGAAACTGGTCATAGAATTAACTTTTCATGAGTTGTGTGATGGACAGTGGGCTTCAATGAAGGGATTATCTCCACGACTGCCAATCGATGTGTTGAATACAGCAGACTCTGGAACAGTAGTTAATTAAAAAGTCAATTAACAAAGTCAATCAGAAGGGAAAAGTTATCAAGTTTATAAATTAATAAATTAATGAACTCTCTTAATTTTATCAATGTCATGCTTTGGGGTCGTCTCGTACATAAATTAGATAAATAAATAAATGAAAATCTTATGATTAAATTTAATATACACACTGGCAAATAATTCCATTCATAAATTGGTAAACAATCAGCAATACACTCGATGCAAATATTGCATGATAAAAGTCAACGTTTTATTTTGTTATCTATTGCTCATTGGTCTTTAAACTTTCCGCAATATATAAATATTATGATAAGTTTATAATTCATACAGAATCAGTAAGACGTTTTCTTTTGTTAAAAAGTTGTAAGTTATTGTTTATTAAATATGAGTAATATAAAAAGTGATTTTCTAACTGGTAAATTACTTTTAAAATATAAATAATTAATTAAAATAAATAATCGCAATATGAGAAAGTGATAACGAAATAATTCATTGATCCTGACTTAATCATAGCTATGTTCTGTGTATGTATTTTATATAAACCACGATACGACACAGATAAAAATGGACCTGTCTCGATCATTTCTAGACGGTGGGGATCACTCACTACACTGTCTCACTGTTTTTACGATATGCATGACAGTGTATGTTTTGCGATGGCAGCATTAGGTAGTGTAGAAACCTCACAAATTCTTTTAGATGTTTTACAAATACTTAAAGAAGAGAATGTGTTTGATACTTCCAGTGACCAACCAGTTGTTCAGTTTCTACATCCAAATGAACTCCAGGTGCTTTTAGATTATTTTACACATATTACAAATAATATCAATTAAAAAAAAATCAAATAATATATTCATATGACTTTTTTGTGCATGGATAATTATTTATCACGATTAATTGATACTGAAAATTTTATTTTTCTTTCTATTTAATAGATTTTCAACAACATCAAGTTGTTATATTCATTGAAATTAATTATATATTATTTTAAAATCTCTTTAATTGAATAACAAACGTGATATGTCATAGATCATAATTATTCATAACTGATTTATACCAAGTAATAATTAATTAATGATTGGTTATTAATTAAAAATGATTTCTTTAAATACTAATGAGTATAAAATGAACTTTCATCATGTAGGTATATTTTACAAATATATCATGAATGTACAAAGTATAGAGTAACCATGGGTCTTAATGATAAGATAAAGATGAGCATAGAAAAATCTATTTTTCTATTTCTCATGAAAGGAAACTTAAAATGATGAGAAGCATATGAACATAATGATAACTAAAAATAAGTGTAATCATAACGTTTTTTAACCAGAAAAAAATAGAAGTGAATCTTGTTGATGATGGAGCAACAGACGAAGAAATCAAGACAGCTATTCGCAAGATTGTTAAATTCTCCGTAAAGACATCCAGTCCTCATTTTCACAACCAATTATACGCAGGCGTAGATCGTTATGGACTTGCCGGTTCTTTCATCACGGAAAGCCTCAACACAAGCCAGTAACTATTCTTGAATTTTTTCCGCTGGCAGTTATAAAAGCTGCAATTTATATATGTGGATGAATGAAGAATCAAAATAAATAAATTTTACTTACACTAGATATACATATGAAGTTGCACCAGTTTCAATGCTATTGGAAAGAGAAGTCTTAGATCAAGCACTGAAACTGATAAAATATCCAAACTTCCCTGATGCTGATGGGATCTTGTGTCCCGGTGGTAGTATTTCAAATATGTATGGCATCGTTTTAGCCAGATATTCAAGAATTCCTCTAATAAAAACAAAAGGTCTTAGTGGATTGCTACCTCTTGCTATGTTCTCGAGTGAGCTTGGTCATTATTCAATTTTAAAAGCTGCTCACTGGCTTGGAATAGGAACAGAAAATGTATACAATGTAAGTAAAATTCAAAAGCTTTGGTTTACCTTTAAAGACAATCTCCACATATTTTTATTTTCTTGATGCTTAAGGTTAAAACTGATGCTTTGGGGCGTATGCTACCAGACGATTTAAAGAGAGCAGTCAAGGAAGCAAGGTTGCAAGGAAGTATTCCTTTCTTTGTAAATGCCACTGCTGGTACTACTGTACTTGCCTCCATAGATCCACTCCAAGAGATTGCAGCAATTTGCAAGGAAGAAGGACTTTGGCTTCACATTGATGTTTGTATGAAATTTTTATGCTTATAAATTTGAGTATTTTATTGACAATTATTTTTTTAGGCTTGCTTAGGAGGCTCATTACTACTTTCCAATACATATAAAGATAGGCTCAAAGGCATAGAGTTGTATGTATCCAGTTATTTAATAACTCATAAATATTTTTTATTCAAATAGAAGATACTTTCATAGATAGAAAATTACTATTCTCTTTTAGATCAGATTCTGTTGCATGGAATCCGCATAAAATGCTTGGAGCTCCGTTTCAATGCTCATTGTTTCTAGTCAAGAGGAAAAACTTACTTCATGAAGCAAATTGCTCTGGTGCAACGTATCTCTTCCAGCAGGATAAATTTTATGATGTTTCCTGGGATACTGGAGATAAAAGTGTTCAATGTGGTAGAAAGGTACATTATTTAAAAAGGTTTTATGCATTTATATTCAATTATATGTAATTTGTAGATAACTTAAGTAACTAATTTAAAAAATTCAAGCTATTATTTTATTTGTTAAGCTTGTAGAAAATATTACATGATTTTTATTGGTACTAAATTAACTGAAGTGTTTATTGATAAATAAATAATATTAATTGAATTCCTTTCAGGTTGATGCATTAAAATTATGGGTCATGTGGAAAGCACGAGGTACAAAAGGACTTGGAGAGTCAGTTGATGTTGCTATGAATGCCATTAATTATTTTTTTGAAACAATTAAATCACGTGAAGGCTTTAGACTTGTTCTACCAAAATACGATGGAAATACTGTCTGCTTTTGGTAAGATAACTATTTTATTTTTATTGCTGGGAAATTTTTTAGCAAGACAGTGAAAAGAGTAAATTCTGTCTAGGTACATTCCACCTAGCATGAGAGGTCAGGAAGAAACAGAAGATTGGTGGAAAAAGCTGTACTATATCACAACAAAAATTAAAGAACTTCTAGTATTAGATGGACATTTATTAATCGGTTATACACCATTAACACAAAAGAATTATGGTAATTTTTTTAGAATGGTAGTCTGCTGTGTACCTCCACCTAATGTAGCATCAATGAATTTCGTTATGGAACAAATTGAAAAGATTGGAGGGAAATTATAAGTTTTTAATAATTACAATATATTCTACCGTCCTTATATTTTGTATTAAATAAATAATAAAACATTGATATTTGATTAAAAAAATTTCTTTATTATGTAGAAACAAAAATTGTAAGTTCAACTTGCAAGTATTCGTTTGTACTTGCGAAATACAAAATATGCTTTTTGACAGGAAATATTGTATAAATATAAAAAATGTTGTATAAAAAAAAAACAACAAGGTATACATAAATTTGGTATTATTCTATAGTTGATTAATTAATATGCTTCGATAATATTTTTGTAGTGGAACATAGATTTTTAAGACTATTTCAAAAGCAACTGTTTGTGCGTTCTAAATAATAAAATTTATTTGACTCAATGTGAGCCGATAAACGTTTCCGAACGTTTTTTAATACATTCATTTCTCTTAAAGTTAAATTAAAGTTAAAAAAAAAAATTTATTTACATTCTCTCCTTCATGGCACGACTGCTTTTAAATGTATACTAAAAATATTTTTCTCAAAATACATTATTTCTCTTAATTTTTGTTTTCATTACATCTAATGAATGATTAATAATGATGTATTTACATGTTTATTTGTATTAATTTTTTCAATGATCAATTATTAATATAATTTTTTCCTAGTTAATGTATTAATACTCTTATAAACAATTAATTAATTCATGACTTTGTCAGAATCAAATTTCGATGAATGCATGATATTTTATACAAATGTTATCGAAATGCCCAACCAAGCGTTGGTTACTTATCTCTTATACTCACGTTTCACTCTTGCAAGTTATTTACAAAAACAAAAATAAACTTTGAACTCGTACGTAAAAACATTTTCCACATAATCGTCAAATTTTTCACAGTCCTTTGACTTCCTTTTTATCTAAAATGCTGTTAAGCCTCTATATTCTCAATGAGCAATTTCATTTGAAAATATCAATTACGAGTCAGTAGATCGTATTCTGTACAATCTTACTAACTAAATATATCAGTCGATATGAATATTTTTTAATAAAAATCTTACTTTTACTTTCCTTAATAATATTTCTCTTGATCTAAATCTGTACGAATATGTTGCTGACCATGACTATTCCTCTTCAAAGTCGCTGATTCATAATCAAGAGCTTTTGGGTAGAGTTTCGGGCTTCCTAATCCATTAACATTTGGGTTTGTCTTAGAACGTAACGTTCCATTGCCATTGCTTGTTCCCGAGAAACTTGGTTGCCTTTTAGCGTTAACCTAAACAAAAAATATTACCGTTAAAGTATTACACCTTTTTAATAACTTATCTTCATTACATACTTTCTCTCATAAAGATGAACATACCTCTTTTAGTGGAACCGCAACATAGGGATTTTGTTTGCTGATGTAGTGAGGACTTCCAGGAATTCGAGGCTTACGTCGTTTCAAATAGAAAAAGCAAAGAAGCGCAGTAACCGCTAATCCTAAGATAAATCCTGCAATACATCCACCTACAACAGCTCCCACAGATACTCCAGCCACGTGAACGCTTCTTGGTAGTGCGTTTGATAAAATTTCACTCTCCCATTCAGGAAGACATTCTCGAAATTCTCGGTTTGGACCTACACAACCTCCTTCGTCGGGATCTATTTGACATTGTCGCTTCCTAACTTGCTGTTGAGAGGTATCACAAGGTGACCAAGCCGACCAGGTGTCCCAACCAATTTGCGACTCGCAGCTAGGCATTTCACAAGTTTCTTTCATCAACTGAGGTCCTTGACACCCTTCAGAGTTTAAACATTCTCTCGTTCTTGTACGGAAACCAACTCCACATGTTACCGAGCATTTGGACCAGTTTGTCCAGCAAGACCAATCATTTCCTCTTGCATCAAATTCATCGGTACAAGGATGTTCGTTACAAGAGCGTGTTTGAGTACTTGGCCCATCACAGTAAGAGCCCTCGCATGTTCTTACTCGATGTTGAGTTCCTCCTCCACATGCACGATTGCATGCATACCAAGGAGACCACTCAGACCATCCTCCATCAAAATTATCCGGATTGAAAATTCCATTATTATTCACTCGAGTACAAGTACCATCAGTTTTACAGAATCTTTCATCTTCTTTTGACAGTTGGACTTTGACGCTCGTAGGATCTTCTGTTTGTGCACGACAGCTGAATCGATATCGTCTTTCTGTATGACCTATACCAGCTTGTTGGCTTCCGTTGACCACTAACCAAGGTGTCCAAGCGGAATATCTTCGTGTTTCTGTACAAGGATGTGTATTACAGTCTTCAATTTGGAATGCACACCCAGGACATTCGGCTCCTCCTTCCCGCGGTGATGGTTTGTCGCATGTTCTTTTCCTTACTCGAATTCCCCCGTTACAAGCACGCGAACATGAATTCCATGACCCCCATGACGACCACTGACCATTTTGCGGTGGCGGTGCAACTTTAGCTGGAGTTGGACATGGTGGTAAGTCAATACAAACAATCTCATCATGATCGTGGCCCACACAAACACGGCCTCCAAAGGCAGGTGCTGGATTGGTGCAGGAACGACGACGAGTTTTAATAGCAAAGCCACAAGTTTGAGAACAAGCTGACCAGGCTGACCAAGCTGTCCAACCACCATGAACCGTACAATTAGCTACTTTTATTTTAGATCCGGTGCAGCCTGCTCCACCATTTTGAGGAGGTGGATTGTTACATTCTCTCATTTGACACTGACAAGTATCAGAGTTCTGAAAATAATTAGTTTGTCAGCAAATTGAACTTTATTTAACTTTCATATAATTTATATTAATTAATTTTGTAAATTGTACCTCTGAATTATCAATACGGGGTCTTAAGTGTGATCGAGTATGTCCAGTTGCCAATTCAGAGGTTCCATGTTGACATGGAGCCCAAGTACTCCATGCACTCCAACCACCATCAACTGGATCTGTAAGTACTGGACATTTGGTTACTTCTTGTTGCCAGTGGTTGGCCAAATAGTTTTGTAACGGTGCTTGGTCGCACTTCATTAAATGTTCATTCCAACCGCAATAAGGATCTTGAGCATTTAAACAAGCCTGACGTTTTCGATGACGATGGCATTGAGCTGCTGGAATCCTAAGAAAATAATAAAAAATAAGTAACAAATTAAATAAACGATGTAGAGTAAATCATTAAAATTATTTATGTATCATGTTCAAGGTTTTTCAACCTCATCAAGTAAGTCTTCTGACATGATAGAGTTATCAAAAAAAATCAAAAAAAGTAGATACCTGAGAAGACCAGTTTCCATGCCCACGTAGAGGCTCTGAGACTTCTTCAGAAATTGTAAAGTCATCACAGTTGAAGGAAATGGGCCCCAAACCTCGACAATGCACGTATCTTGTGTCCTTGGCAGTACAGAAATCTTCTTGATGAGCCCATCAGTTGTTGCAACATATAAAATAGTCACTCCACGATGTAACTTAGTAGGTGTTACATCAACAGCAATATGAGTAAACCGTTCCATGGTAGTTGTATGGAGTGGACCTAGAGTTGTACCTTGAATTGCTTCATCCATCAATAAATACCGTTGATTATCTAATATTTGATGAGCCGCCGTGTTCTCCATTTGTCCACAATGTTGTCTATAATGATTCGGCACTCGTTTCTTCTCCCATGTCGCACTGGAGTGTTCTTGATGTTTAAAAGGCCCGTTGAAAGCTGATGTGATAGCTGTCATATTGAATGCACAGATTGCTGAGCCCGCAATAGCATTACTGTGGCAAAAAAAATTTTAATGATTACCATATGTAACACTCAAATACTCCAATACACAAAACAATTATTATTTTAATATAATCAATTACTAATAACATAGGTAGAATTAAAACAATTTTGTCATGTCAATTTGTAAGTTAGTTGCTTATTAGAATAACATACTTGAAATAGATAAAAAAATTCATTATAGAGAATTATTTTTATTTATTTAATGCCCTACTTAAACTTCATCAATATTGACATAAGCAAGATTTATTGTAAATTGAAACTCATATTTTTTAATTCAAGAGACTTTCAATACAACTGGAATAGTGAAGAATGATAATTAATGCTTTACCTACATTTCACTTCAGAGTCCTACGTGAATGCAAGGACAGAAAAGATTCTATTTATTCCTATTTATTGGTTAATCATTGAAAAGACATAGCGAATACTAAACCATTTACCTTGGAGTTGTGAATGTAGCATAGACGATCCCTTCATCAGGATGGTATGCAGCGCCCTGGATCTCATCATAATAAAACGGAAATTCTCCAGGAAGTGAACAGTTAAGACGAGCTTTGCTGAAGGTCGTCCAAATATCTCTCTGTACCATTGGACTACCTGGATCTCTCTTGCAAACCCGTGCGATTCTCGAATAGATTTTCTGCAATAAAAAAATTTCAAATCATTTTTTAGTGCTTCGCCTAGCTGTTATTATTGCTCTTATTTGAATAACTAAACCTTTTTTGCGGTTTTAAATAAGTGTAGTGAATCAATCGCGATTTAATGCTCAGCATAGTGGAACAGCTGTCCAGCACTACGCTTAGCAATTATTCCAACGCCACGTTTCACGGGCTTTTGCACACTTACTCCATAGGTATATAATTGTAATGTAATTATGTAATTACTCTGAGCATGAATCGTCATGACTATATTCTCCATCCAGAGATAGAACCCGTTGTTGTAGAAAATATTAAGAGAAAAAGAATCTTTACAAATTCTCTTGATTATTGCTAATTGTTTAATAATTAAGACACGTTAGTTTGTCATTATACCTTGCCGCAATTTATGTACTCCACAGCGATCTCACGAAACAGGAAGTAGACATGGTCATCGGTCTCAAAACTACCCACGAATTGCGGATCATTCAACCATCTGTAAATTATAATGTAAATGTCTCAATTAACTTCACGTAATTACTCATAAAAAAAATTCATCCTGCCTACATATAAATTATCAACTTAATTAATTTGATTAATTACGCTGTACAAAGTTTCTTTTCATTTACCTCGAGTCATATTGTTGGGTACGCAGGCTGGGTGATGCTAATGTTCGATAAATTATACCATCAGTGCCAGAAAAATCGGTCGGTGCTCCGGCAAAAAGACCTGCATTCTCTTTGGCAAGCAGAGCAGTGACATTTGCTTGTGGAGAATATGGACATATTGCTACACCGAACAATGAGTCTGTTACATTATTAATATTCTCGATCTGTAATATAAAAGATAATAAATTTAGAATAGCCTACGATGACTTTCTCCGGAATGAATTTTTGTCTTGTGGTGAGATAGTGTAGCATCCAGTGCTAAAGATCATTATGCAAATGTATGGATTAATTATCTGAGAAGGGACAGGACTTGATGGAGACAGAGAGAAGTTAATCTGACGGGAGATATTACCTCTCGCCAGGTGCAATGTGGACTGAAAGCATTGGTACCACAGGTGAAGAGCTTCTTTCCATTGGTGAGCAAGACTTTAATGTAATTGTGGCAATCCTGGGCTGTTTGACCTTTGTCTTGACAAACAGATGCTTTTTCGGGTGGTGCCGGCCAAATCGCATGTTCCAATGGCGTCAAAGAATTCAACGTCAACCGGTATAAATTGTCCCTGAAATCAAAATGTATTATTAGAAGATGAGAGCTTGGTGATAAATCAAAGTTTAAAATCGATTATATGAATTATCAAAAATTCTTCAACAGTCGACCTCGAGCAAAGGCTATGGCAGGTCGTTTCGAGTAGGCTGGTGGAGCATTTGACAAAGTCAAGTGACTTGAGAGCAACATTCCAAAACGGCCCACTTGACTACTAAGACCCGCGTTCCTTTACTCTTCGTAGGCGACGATCGAAACCAACCGATCAACTTCGATCTCCTATCAACTCTTATGAGTAGGCTGAGCAAAAGTCTGATAGATATAGAGCACCATGGACAGTACGTGTGATAAATAAATTATCACCCGATTTATAAATAAACCGCGTTGGCGCTGTAGAGTCGTCGCGCGAGATTCTGAATAAAAATATAGTTGCTCGCGACTTACGGATAAGCTGTTATCTTCATTACAAGCTGTTTGAGCACAGGTATTGAACATTATTAAGGGTTGATTTGGTTTGAGAACCTATATATAGATATAGAAAGAGAGAAGGATAATATCTTTCTAGTTTTGAATAATATTCCAAACTAAAACTTTTTATCTGATGTAAATATTTTTATCCTTTTTCACTTTCCTTTTTTAATTTTATCAAACCAGCTTATTTTATAATATTTATGAAATGGTGATTGTAGATTTGTATTAAATGTAATTATGTAAAGTTAAGTTTGCATTTATTAAATATTTATTAATAAAAATTCATCTTTATTTAAATGTTTCCCTTTTTAACCATTTTCACTCTTTCATTTTAGAACCAATATTTCTCTTTTCCTTTTTGTTCTTCTTTTTCGTATGACGTTTATGTAAGTTTTATCGACAGACCACCTGATTCTGATACATAATTCCCATCTCTTTAAGTTTTTGTATCGAGCTAATTCAATTTCAGTTGATTTAATAATTATAGAATGCAATCACTGAACAGCAAAAAATTTGTAGTAATTAAATCAAACCAGTGATAAGAAGACGTGGCTTGGTCATTTGAAAACAAACTTGTTGAAAGAAGCTTTATTCATTTTTTTTTGTTCATTTTCATGATTGAATATATTCAACATGAATTTTATTCAAATAAATTTAAAAATTTTTTCATGAAAACAAATATACTTGCATTCATAATAACCAATCATAATTAAAATTAACTTATTCATTGCACGGATATGTTTTTTCCTTTATCCATCAAAGAAAGAAATAATTTAATTTCCGCAATTCCGTTTGTCATCCTTCACTGTTTATAAATAATACCTTTGCTTTTTTCCACTTCATGGTATTTCGTTCCAATCAGGGCAATATAATTCCATCCAAGAGTTAAAACATAATTAAATTTATTGAATCTTGAAATTCATCATCTACTTGATAAATAAATCAAATTAAAAATGACTTCAAAAATAAAATAAACATTTCATGATAAATAGTTGAAGTTTCAATGCAATAAAGAGCAGAGTTCGTTGAAGTTAGGTGTCCAATGAATTCCCATACCAATTGAACTTCTCCAGAATTGCAAACTATCGTCAATAAATAATTAATTGGCGTGCAACAGCAACCAAGCGCACTTATATTCCACTTTATAATAATTACTCGGTTAAACTATCTCCTTCGAGTGTTGTCAGGGCAGGCCAGTGCGCCCACGTAGGCGCCATTTATGCTTCGTTGCCGGTTTCTCGTCGTCGCCAGTTCGCAAGAGACAAAAGTGAAACACGAGAGAGGACGGCTCGAGGCCGTTCGAAAAATATTTCATGTTACATAAACTAAACAGTAGATATGATATGACAGAAATAAAAGTCATTACTTCACAAAAATCATACTGAATATCGAAACTGACAGTTTGGCGTTACAGGATGTCAAGCATGTATGGGTGATTAGTGAACAGCTGATTATATATCTCGTCGATATTACTGTAGCGCGAACCTGTTGCCACCTTGCAGCAGTATCTGCTTGTTTGATCTCTGAAGGACCTTAATCCTTCTCGTAACTGTCCATTGCAGCCCTCAATTATTAAATCAACTGAAACTAAATCGATTGAAAATATATACTGTACAAAGACCTCAAAGTATTGGAAAGATCAGAAAAAAGGATTAAATTGGAATTTCCTTGTCAGAGAATACTTCTAGCATTCTTTCTTCTTGACGTATGTCTTATCTATTGACAGAGAAATGCTATAACTTTTAAAATATTCTTCGTGTATTAGTTTACATTTTTTTTTTTTTTTCATGGAGAATAGTTGATTTGTTTTGAAAGTTGTGATGAATCTAATCCTACTTAGCCTAAAAAAAAAAAATGGTATGTATTTGATTTAAAATGAAATATTTTGGAATTAGTTCTTATGGCCTCAATACAGTCTTGATGATTTATTAGAATTCATCATCATAACTTAATGACATTAATTAAGTTTTTTTTTTTTTTTCTATTTAATACTTAGCTGTAAATATGATGTTATTTTATTTAGGGATATCAATCAAGAAGCTGTTAAAAAGGAAGATGAACCTAAAGAAAATGAGAAAATTTTTTTTGTAGTAAATTCAATTATTCCAATTGAATGAGTCAAGTGACAAGAGAAGTGTATTAGACACACTGACTACTTGGATCTTATTACGCTACTTATCAGAAAGTGGCCACATTGAAACAGATTACTTCCTGCTCAGTGCGCAGTACCCTACTCTTTACTTGAGACTAAGGGTCGTCGATGTTGACGACTTGGTTATATACACGAGTTTCTTATTATATTGAAGATACTGAAAGATCCTTTGGTATTATCATTATTTTTCCTTGTCAAGACCGTCATGAAAATTATCTTAAAAAATAAGAAATCCTCATTTCTTAAAGAAAATTATTCCCAATTGACGGTATAAAAATGAAGATGAAGATAAAAATGTCAATTAATATTTAGGTAATTGTCTTGAATGAGCCAGCAGGGGTCCAACGAGCATCAGAGTATAGCGATGAAATTTGTCATGAAAAAAATGTTAATCTGATGATGAATGATGATGAATAAATCTTGTTGGTAATCAGGAGAAATTGAAAGAAATTAGGAATAGGAATATTAATTAAAATTTATCTTATTGAATGGTAATAAATAAAAAGCATTATTTTATTTCTAATAATGAGGAGCAAGATTTATGAGCAAATGATTAATAATTTCTTGTAAGAAAAAAATTCAGTTGGATTTTATTTATAAATTGGTTCAAAGATAAATATAAAAAATTTAATTATTTCCATAAAATGAAACTGTTCTGTTTCTGCAATAGCAGTCAACAAATTCCAACAAGAAAATAATAATCTTCACACATATCATTCAATTTTATGATATACCTCATATTTATTACAAGTAATATTTTCATTTTATTTGCCCATTCTACATAGATAGTTGGAAATTTTTGCAAGAGAACCCCGCGCTCTTGCCAGCTGTTACAAACTCAGTTTCACGCAGTGAAACCCACGCTTAGCTCTGGAATCGTGTGCTATCGCCGGCGTCTACCTGCGTGCCGTCACCGAGTGTACGCGTGTATACGCATAATTCGCGATTTCGACATACAATGCTTGAAGAACGCAAAAGCGTGGGTCGTTTGTGACCGGTGTATCTTGAAAATGTGGTGAGATAGCACAAGAACGTGATGATAAAGTTAGCTAAACTCTTGAGTAAAAAAAGAGTTTTTTTTTTCATTTTTGATAAAGTCACACCTGACTTCTTCCTTATTCCTTTTCTCTTGTTCGTCTTCTTCTGCTATTCTTCATTGGATGAATCTCTTCTACGTATTAATTTCAAAGCAAGAACTCGCGGCTGTTTCTCACCCTCAAAATATCTACTCTCTCCTATAATATTATCCTAATCTATCATTGACTCTCGAGCTTCCCACGAGACCAACCTGTCCACCTCCACGTAACTGATAGTCTTGAACTCAATGTTTGAACCACCTCGCGGCTCTCTTTTCGTTTGCCATCGACACCTACCGGAGCAATCCCAACGATTAATTTATCGCTCTCACGCGACCTCGATAGCCATATCAGTCTCACATCGATCTCGAGATTAATCGACCAGACATACATTTTTACTGCGACATCAACAAGCTTGTCAACTTTTCGTTTCCATTCATGCAAAATTATATCGCTGAATATAGATTTTTTATAGTCCATTCTGATAAATAAACTCCTGCTTAATATCTACAGACGTAAATCTCGGCGCCTTGATTTCAATCACTTTCTCTTTAATTCTAGGTATTAATTATACATACCCTCGTATTTTATTTTTATTTTACGATGTATTTACAACATCCATCAAATTCTCTAGTTTTTGAACAATGTAATCGATCTGTCAGAAGGATAAAAATTCCAGTTATGTAAAAGCTAGATAGTTAATGATCTACACGTGTATACAAACACTACGGTAATTAGTTTGAAGGCACGCGCTTTAATTAATTAACGATAAATACAAGACTGTGATTAGAAAGAAAGGATTGAGAAATAGCCTATTGATACTGTTTGTCTATTTCTCAATGAAATGTCCCAATCGTCAACTTGCTTGTTATTCTTTTTTCAACAAATATATAATGACACAGTGATTTATTTATCATTTTCACATCGAAATTCAAACATTTTTTTCACTTTTTAATGAGATAAAAATATTATTTAAATTTATAATAATTTTTTTTAATGAAGTCGTCAGTTGAAATATAATATTGAAATTTGTTCTTAGAAAAATGATATTTTAACTAAATTAGGAAATGTTATGAACTATATTAAAATATATTTGACAGGTTTCAATACAAATAATAATAAAAATATGATTTGAATAACACTTTTATAATTTCTCAATTTTTCAATGTTTTAAATTTCGAATCATAAGAATTATATTATTATGGAAATGACGTTCATGATGAAATATTTTATACATAAAATTTAATTATTGTATGATGTTATATTTTTGTTTTAATTTATTTAAATAATTACAAGCTTGTTGCTGTCAGTATCATA